GTGGTAATCGCGGCGATAGGCCGAAGGTCAAGGGGAGTCACACCGAGGATGTTCCTGACAGCGGAGGCGAAATGTCGGGGTTGCGGGGATACTGAGACCAAGCCATGTGTAAAGCACGCGATAGGCATGAATCGTTCTAGGCGCTCTGTTGTGCGACACCATCTACAGTGCAGCTGGTGTTCCGCGACTTTAGATCGCGGCTCGCTAACTCTAGCCAATGGTCAGGCGTTCGCTGGCTGGAATCGAGTGAAGGTGGTGTGTTGACTCAAACCTAAGGTCCAGGCCCCCAACTGACATGAAGACTCGCCACGTGGAAGTGGTGACCCTGGTTATCACCGACATGCTTCTCCTCTCGACCCGCAAGCCAATAATCGCCTTCAACTGCTTCGTCCCTGAGGGCTCATGTCTTGGGTGCCAGGATGAGCTTGCGGCGGAGATTAGCAGATATGTCGGAGGAGAGATTGGAGGCTGGCAGCCGAGACTCGAGCCAGAGTCTTGGGATCGATTCCTCTCATTGCTTGCCGGTGTAAAGGCTATTGAGCGCCACCAGGCAGGGGCACTGTAAATCACTGCATGTCATGGAGACTTACATGGTCTGCATCGGGCTGCCATCACGAGACCTCTTCAAGCTGGCTCCGCAGCTGTCGGGGCATGGGAAGGTCGAGTCTCGTCCCCTTGCCTTGTCACGCACAAAGCCTCGACCTTCCAGCGTGCCGTGTCACCTCCGACACAAACACCTTCAGCCTTGAGAATCTGGGCATGGGGACTCAACGCCGTCTCATTTGGGTTTCAGGGTACGCCTGCAGCGAGTCTCCTGCTGCTTAGGGTGCATCCTGCGAGCTGCATCCTGCAGACTCTCTTTTGGGAATTGCCGCATCCGCCGCTATTGGATGTTCATCCAGCGATACAACACTGGCAGCCATCAATGAGTGCTGAGGCAGCAATCACGAAGACCCGGCTTCGTGTAATGCGTCAGCTGGTTCTACCGGCCTGGGCCTGCTTCTCGCTGTTCAGGGGGGGGTGGCGTCATGCCAGACGACTTGTCAAGGGGGAGGCGCCCTCTGCAATGGGTACACTTCTCGCGTTGTTTCTTGGGCCGAGCGTGCATTTGGCTTTGGTCTAGTCAGGATCAGGCTGTGATCCGCCTCATGCTCGACTCATGGCCGTTAGTCGCGATTCAGGGTCCCGCAGCAACCAGCCTTGGCCGCCTACAGTACTCCCTCCTTGCCCCTTTTATCAATCAATCGATCGAGCAGCCCTTCCCCAGCCGGACTACAGCGCCGAAACTCAATGGCAGTGCTGCTGAAGCCGGCTAGATCTGGGCCCAGCTGGCAGAGAGGTCGCATTCATTATGCTTCGGGGGAGTGCCTGGCAAAGGGTTCTCACGACCACTTCCTTCTCTTGCTTGCGCATCTTCTGTTGTTCGTTGCTTTTCCTGCGAGAAGTTTCCAATCGCTTCTTTGATTCATGACGATAAGCGTTGCAAAGCACGCGAGAACTGCCAAAAGTCCTACTAACGGCCGCTGATCATGCCACGACCTCGGCGCGGCGTGCCGTCATATGCGCCGTCTCTGGCCGCTCCCTGGTTACTGTCCAGTGGCGTCCCATAGCGTCACAACTAAAGCAGGGGGTCCTTATTCTCGAACAAATGCTACTCTTCCAGAGGACGCCTATCACTGGTCAAATTGTCTCGGCATGTCGTGTTTCCCGACGAAGAGCATGGGCGAGGATCGTCTCTCTCCAAACAGGAGCTCAGCAGAACATGGGCGCACAGCACACCCACACGTGGCAATGCCTTCGCACCATGCATATGCGACCCGGGCCATGTCGCAGTCTTTGCACAGGCGTCCCTTCGATGGAACGTCGAAAGAAAGCCACCGCGCCCTGCTCGCCGGATCGAGGCTACCGCTGAGGGCCGCCTCCACGAGTATGGGCAGAGATGGAAGGCTCGACGGAGCCTCTCAAAGGGACCGTGAAAGACCTTGGGTTGGCTAAGCCAGGTTCAGTCCTAATCCCCGCTCAGTCTACGACCAGTCCACCCCACTCCCCTATTCCCACCCACCACCAACCCACCCGTCAGTCCGGACGTGCTCATGGCCTAACGGGTGGTCCATTTCATTAAAGATGGAGGGGGCACCAGTGTCGCTCACGGTCAGTTGCTGACGCGCCGTTGCTTCGAGTTTCTCATCTCGTCCAAGATCTACACAACCAGCTTTTCTTGCCTCCTCCGCCAAAGAGCGTGTGCACTTGTCGTCTTTCTGTCCGGGTCCCGATCCTCGCCGGACCTGACGATTGAACGGTTAAGAAAGGGTTGTTGATTAAGCAAAGCTACCCGCTGGCAGGCTGTCTTTCTCCCCGCCATGTCGCACCTCGCTGTGGAAACATGGACGTGGTATGGCTTGACGTGGCTCGTGGTGGTAGCCAGAATGTGGGTTCAATATTCCCCTCCCCCAGATTCCTGACTCCAGATCCCCCATACCCTCTGCAATTGCACCCACTTCGTGTGACATCTGACGATAGCTTTCTGTTACTTCATCGGAATCTAACATGCGTGGTCTAGGCTTTCACGCAGGTTGCTGCAGGGTTCATTCAAGAAGCTGCAGGCCGACGATGCCCTCATGATGTTTGCCATGGTGAGTGCTTCGATCCCCGGAAATTTCCCGCCTCTCCACATCATCCACGAGATTGTCCGGGACTGACCTCAATTGAAGCTCTGCGACACTGTCTTGATCGCGGGCATGAACATTATCGCGCGCACCAATAGTAACCTGATCGCACCTGGTACTGACCTCAATTTCACTGCCGAAGACATCGCCGAGCGCGAGTCTGGCTCGAAATGGGTCCTCGTCGTTGAACAGATGCAGTGCGCCGTCATCTGGTCGGTAAAGGGCTGCTTCCTAATCATGTACAACCGCTTGACGTTCGTGTCCCCTTTGCTCCAGAAGTCGCCTTGGTCCAATACTTACTCCTCTTGTCTACAGCATGAGTCTTAAGCAGAACCTGGCAGTCAAAATTGTTGCCGGATATGTCGTCGCTGGCTTCATCGCCATGGAAGTCCTCTACTTTGGTGTCTGGTGCAGACCATTCAGCCAGTACTGGGCTGTCCCCCCGGACAACAGTCAGTCTATACCACCCTTTGACATCGCGTCCGATGGTTATCCTAACCCAAGCTTTTAGCCCAATGCTCGGCTGCCACGAATCACCTTATCACCAACGCCGTCATCAATATTTCTTCGGATGTCATGATCATCCTGATCCCGATGCCGGTGTTCCTCCAGTCCCAGATTGCCCAGAAGAAGAAGATGATCCTGTGCGGCGTCTTCGCCCTCGGCGCCTTCACTGTGAGAGCAACCCTCGGTCTCGCACTTTCTCCGTCATCAGTTGACTGACTCAACCCTCCGTAACAGATTCTCTCAGCCATCCTCAACAAATACTACAGTTTCAACGAACCCTTCGGCTCGGCCTGGACGTTCTGGTACATTCGCGAGTCCTCAACCGCCCTTATCGTCGCCAATTTACCCATGACCTGGACAATTCTCCGACGTCTCTTCAACCTCAAGTCCTTCAACGGCAAGTCGTCGAACCAGCGCTCTGGCTATCCTTCTTCAACATCGCACTTCCGCTCGATGACCTACAGCCGCAACCCTCAATCCACGATCCGCGGCGGCGATCACGACCTCGACCCATCTGCGAGCGAGGAACAGATCAACAGCGGATTCGGCGGCATCCCCCTGAAGATTTACCAACAACACAAGGTGGAAGTGACTTCCCACGAACTGGGTCCACATGACGGGCGCCGTTCGTCGGACGGCTCTTTTCGGGAAGGCGTGACGGTTACTGTCACGACAGGCCACAGATCAGATCATGATACCCGGGACTTGGAAACCTCGTCCAGTACGTCAACTGTTGGGATTGTCAAGGCGTCAAGAGGAATCTAGGAGGATAGGTATGTAGGAGGAATAATGAGGATGGACATGAGCTGAGGCTTCAATATACCCCCCATGATTTGTGTCAAACATGGTGACGTGACATCGTGTGTGAGCGGCATCAAGTCCTCAATTGACTTGTTTCATAGGGTCGGACGAGAAGCCACGTTGGGCGAATTGTAAAAACCCTCCACGCGACGAATGGTACTGAATGCTCTGCCCCAGCGACGGTATCGTGGTAAGGCAGCGACTTTTCACAAAGTAGGCGTCCACGGACGCACGAACATGGGTGCTGCGATCAAATGTGATCGTGGCTTACCTGAGGGTGCCAAGGTCTATATCGGAGGTTCCTACAAGCGACAAAGACTTAGCCCCAAGCCACCAATACGTGTGCGCTTTCTTTGCTTTCATGGCATTCAGGTGTCAAGTCTGAGACCAGGCCTTTGACCACCTGAGATTGTTTGTTGTTCAACATCCCATCCATAGCTCGATCTCGATGTGGACTTGAATGCATGGCCTGGAATTCCCTGCTTTGTGTTTGTGCTCGAATTCTTTGTCGTAGACAGCGAATTGCTTCAGGTGGCTGATGATGAGGGTTCGATCATAGTTTCGATGGCGATGACTGTTCTTTTTGCTTTTTGATCTTCGCCAATGTGCAAAGTCCATGAATTCTCGGTCTTGTCACAGCAACCGAAATCGTTGGTTATTAGGGGACTGCAGATTTATCAGCCACGGTCGTACTGTACTCACCTCATCATCAACAACAACACCGGCGACAACAACGGCGAAAAGCTTTCGATCTTGCAGTCACTCCTACCAGCTCCAGTTGCAAGTAGAAGCCTGTCTTCAAGCACCTCCGGTCAGTACTCAGCATCTTGTCACCATTGCGAACTAATAGACTGAACACCGTTTCGCAGGTGCACGATTCTGTCAACAAGCTGTATCTCCAATCAACCACTCCTTCCACGACGGAACTCCGTGCCAGCTTCACCGAGGGTATCCGAAAACTGGTCCAGATTGCTCCACTCTGTTTGATTATACTAGCAAGAGCCACGCGTGGTTGCATCGCTCACAATGTCTGATACGTCAGAACGTTCCGATATTGGTTCTCCGGTCTGGGGGGCAACAACTGAGCCAGTCTGGCTTGGAGAACGCTCCCGTCAGCCGCGTGAAAAGATAGACGACGCCGTATGGGGGTCGCAAGAGCTGAATGAGTTGCTAAAACGTGACAGTCATGTTTCTGTCCCCCTCGACGAAAATTTGAAGCATCCGGACGAACTTGAGGTTATTCACAAATACTACTTGACAGGGATGGGATATGGCCCTGGCACGATGTTTCCATCACCTCTCAATCACCGACCTCTTAATGGCACACACTCCTTAGGCAATATTTGTGACGAGGCCAAGTATGTCAGCGGGGAAATCTTTCGCGAGTGGAAGATCCTCCGGGGGAGAATACACGACAAGGAACATAATGCGGTTCTCACCAACGCCCTGGCGCACTTGTTCGAACACAGCCCTCTGGATGCCCGGCACCTGTTCTTTGACAAGTGCTGGAAGAAAACACAGCAGTACTTTCTGAAGTGCGATCCAGGGAGCACAACGCCACTTCCCCTTGCTCGCCTCGCTAGGCAGGATGTGGCAAACATGGTTGCCGAGGCCAAGGGTGTTGCAATTGTTGGGGGGCACCCGTACACTGAGGCAGGGATAGAGCTAATGGCCTCTATCAGAGGCATGCGGTTCAAGATGCGGGAAATTAATACCATTGAGTCCCTGCGCTACTTGAACAGCATGCGCCTGGTCTACGAATTGTTTTTTGACTTACTGGCTCCCTTGCTCTGCCAGAAGAACCTGAACGATCCGGGCATGCTGGCAGCTTTCCTTGTGTCTCGCGCCGATGACCACCCGGCAGCCTTTGCGAGGGCAGACTTTCGACAAATGTATGTTGGCCTCGCCAATCGATGGTTTGCGCCTTTTGCCTGCTTTCTAGGGACAGAAATGAGTCTCGATGAGCCTGAATTGACCACCAATGCCTCTGGAGCTGGGAAAGAAGATTGGAAATTAGAGGCTACGCAGCTCAAAGAACACACCGAAACCTATGGAAGGCTATTCGACTTCTCTGCGCAATACTGGAGATCTAATGGTCATGCGGAGTGGGCACCCATTGGAGCAAAGTACACAAGGCTGAAAACGACTTCCGTCACTGGTGGAAACGACACAAAACGTCAAGAGTTCCTGGAGACTGCGGGCGAGGTTGAGAGACGACTCAACAAAAAGCTTTGCAATGCTCGGTCAAGAGAAGCCGCGTCGAAGATCGAGAGTGACAACGCCGGGCGCACCTACTCCTTTCTCGATGGCTTTGCGGTCCTGTCGGCACAAAACTTTATGCTTCACTTCCTCAATGTTGTCTGCTTCGATGCTATTATAAAATGGAGTAACCATGTGGAGCAATCGCCTGGCCAAGTATCCTGGATCACTGAGGACCTGGCACAGTACCGAGACCTTCAGATGAGAGAACGCTGTACTGGGATAGATAGGCCTTGGGCCGACCTTGGCCTGCATCTGGGCGATCCTCGCGGCATCTCTTCTGAGCAGGCTAGACACCAGCCTTACACCAAACCCCACCGCCGAAATGACTCAACAGGGGCCGAACCGTTGGTCATACCAACCCTTGAGGCGCAGCGCCTAGAGAGCATCACCGTGTTCCAGGAACTGATGAAAGACAGCTCGACATTCAAATCGCTGTTCAAGGTTGAGCTTGAGCATCATCATGGGTGGATTCGCGACAAGAAAGACCAAGTTCTAGAGAACCTTGACAAAGCCTCAAACTTGCCGCAAGCTATCGTGACGGAAGTGACTCTAGACATCATCGAGCGTGTTTTTCGAAGAAGGATCCTCGATGTAGAGTTTTTCCATTTCGTTCACGAGCACTACAATCGCTTTACGGAGAGTCCCGCCTCTTTGTCGACTTCGGACTGGCTATTCCTTCAGGTCCACGCCCGCGAGTTTGCGAGTCACTACTGGCATGATCTTTCTCGTCGTGGTATTTGGCATGCTCAGCCCAGATGGAGGCAGTATTTTCGCAGGAGCACGAAGTTCAGAAGCATCGCCAACGGATTGCCCCAGTACCTTCTACCCGTCGGCATGGAAACGAAAGATCAGCAACAGTGGTTCGTGCTCAACGACGATGGTGTGAACACAGATGAGGAGCTCAAACAGCTGTTCAGCCTCACTGGTCACCTCATGCATCGTTTCGTCACACAAAAGGAAGCAGCGGCATTTGTTGGACTGGGCAACCTTCTCGATACGCTGGCCCCTCTGCTTCCTCGACTGAGGCACCATAAGTTCATATCTGATTATGTCTTCAAGACCATTGAAAACCTCAATATTTGCGTCCAGATGGTGAAGCAGCTCGACTTACACCGCGACGGCGAGCGGGAGCTTCGACCCTATTTGGACAACGGGCCTGGCCAGACCTCTGAGCCACCCCGATCAGCGTTGCTTCAAAGCCTATCGACTGTACTGGACGAGGTCTTCCCAAAGGCATCACACTATACCAGGCATCAAGCATTGAAGTCCCTCAGTCCTTTACTGCATGGGAAATCACCAAGTGAACGAGATGCGTCCAGAACCATTCGAGGCATCTGGTATGCATTTGTAGTTCGAATCGCCGGCTATGAAATCAAACCAGAAGACGCTGCCTCTCTTGATGATGCTCCGCATACTAAGCTTGACCCTAAGAACAGACAAGAGAGCCTAGTAGGACCGGGCTTAATGGAGCATTGGGGAATTATTATTCAGGACCGGACGGAGCAGCTTGAGACCCTTTCGAGCTCTCCAAGCTCCCACAAGTCAACACCGCCAAAGCCACAGACACCACCTCCGCGCGTTGAGCTCAGAACGACAACATCCCCAGCCCATCACCCACCAGGCTGGGTACCAGGGCAGAACACAAACCCACGCCCTAGGCTGCCTCAGGAGGCTGCTGCACCTGTCGTACCTGAACCCCCACCTGTGCCAGCCGAACCGCTCCCGCCACTGGCGCCCGACATCTGGCGGATATTTGATAACATTTTCGGTGGCTATGAGAACTACAGCATGTCGCAATTGGTGCAGGCTTTCAAGGCTATAGGATGGAGAGTGGAGCAGAGCGAAAATGGTCTCAATTTCCTGTGGTCTCCGGAGTGTCGGCTTCCGGCACCTGTCAACAGCGTGGCAATGCAGATCCATCCGTACAAGCACAAGAAGCCGACAGCAAAGGTCCAGTCGGAGGCATGGAAGTCCGGCAACAGGAACCGGTTTGAGGAGCGCGGCGTCTCCCAGCAATCTCTCCAAACTCATTACAGCGGTTGTCCCGGCTGGCATCGGCGGAAGTATGATTTGGAGCTTGCGACATGAGTCAGTAGTGTCGGAGGTGTTGTATCACGAAGCGTGCAATTCACGTCGCTTAGTGATCGACAGCAATTGATGGATTGAGTTTACGGCAATCGAACTCTATTCCACGCAAATGAGCTGACATTCGCCGCGCTAACGCCATAAGGCCATTGTTAAGTGCATGGCAGAGGCAGGCTGGCGCAGGAGCTCGGCATAGGTGCCTTCGGTCCGACGCGATCGGCAAGACTAGCCCGACATTATTTATCTCTGACATCGTGAACCCTGGTTACATCCCACGCAGGTGGTTGACCGTCACAGCCAAGGAAATCACCGGTGTGAAGGAACTGCCGAGTGTGACGGTGACGAGATGAGGATGCAGCGAAGGTCAGGGCCTTGCAGGACAGTAGCATTGGAGGCCACGTACGATTTGATCACGCACGGGGGTGAGCGGTTGGTTACATGAGCTGAGCGAGGAGGTGCTGGAACAAGTGTTGAGTAAAATATAACCGAGTCGCGGCGTGTCCAGGACGGGAAAGACGTTACTGTAATTCAGACCCGTAGCAGTCGGCTCCATTAATGTAAGAAGGGTGACAGGGAGACAATGCGCGTAGCTTCAACACACCAGACTCGTGGGAGGTTCGTCACCATAGATGTCTCCGAGGGAAACCATCTCAATGGATGTAGGTCAAAGATTGCTGTCGCGAGTTCTCCTTCAATAATTAGACCCCAGAATTGAGGTATATACTGGGAAAGCGCTTGCAACAGAAGCATCCCCCAAGTCATTCAATGATATTCATGGGATATCCTCAAAGGGTCAAGTCGTGAGAGGTTAGGTCGCTTCTCCACGCGCGAGCTACCTTACCTAAGGTGGGGTTCAACAGCACGTGACAGATGACATAACATTTCTATGCGGCATGACGCAGCTCTTTATCGGGGTGCTCTGAGTGCCGCCCCGAAAAGCGGCCTCGTTCGGCGGTCCAAAATTTGGGCCGCTCTTGCGATCGCCCACGCAACACCATACGATGGCCGCATCGACAAAGTTCCCCGAAGTACAGGGCGGCGGTAGTCTGATCCTTGCCTGGCAGGTCAAGAACAAGAATGTCCTCGTTGTCGGCGGCGGCGAGGTGCGCCCACCCCCCCATCCAACCAGCGTATGGGCTTATCACCCTGCTAACATGATGGTCCTTGTCAGGTCGCCGCAGGACGCATCCTCAACGTCCTGAACGCCGATGCCAAAGTCACATTGGTATGCCCTGCCTCGGGCCTCAACCCCGAAGTAGCCTACCGCGTCGAGCAAGGCCAAGTCACCCACATCGACCGCGTATTCGAACCCAGCGACCTTGATGGAGCCGATATGGTCATGACGGCCATCGACGACCCTGCAGCATCGACTGTGATCTGGAAGCTCTGCAAGGAGCGCAAGATCCCCGCCAATATTGCAGATGTCCCACCTGAATGCGACTTTTACTTCGGCAGTGTCCACCGCGACGGGCCCCTCCAGATCATGGTCAGCACGAACGGCAAGGGTCCTAGGTTGGCCGCCATTATTCGGAAGCATATTGCGAAATCTTTGCCCAAGAATGCAGGCAATGCCATTGAGGCGATCGGGCAGCTGCGTCAGAAGCTGAGAAAGATTGCCCCGAACCCGGAGGCGAGCCCGAAGAGGATGGGATGGTATGTGGTGCCTTGCCCCTTACGATGGTCCGTCTAACAGCTGCCAGGATGATCAAAGTTAGCAATGCCTATGGCTGGGAAGAAATCTGCGATTTCACAGATGAGGACATGGAGAACCTACTTACGTACTATGCGGACAACAAGGTCCCTACAGTGGATGATCTCCAGGCTATGCGGCGCCATCCTGAGCCATCCAAAACCGACATATTCGACGGATCGTTTGGCTTCTGCGTCGGAGTGTGATGGGATGAAAGTAAGAATTGCTTCTAGACGCGCTGCGGTGCCAGTACAGCTGTGTAGGAGTCAGGAGCTGGGAAAGGCGTTATACACGTACAACTTTAAAGAAAATAGAAGGGAGAATGGCTTTGGCGATCAAACATCGTAGACTATCACTGTTGGAACACCGTTTGTTCTCGGCGCATACTATAAGTAACAAACGCGAGGCATGCTGGCAGACACTGCAAAGAAATGAAGGAACGCTTGGGCAGCATGGCGGAGCAGTCAAAACATGGCGTTTGTAAATTGTATGCACTGAAGTCAACTCAACGAAGCCAGCCTCATTAATGGCCACGTGAAACCTCGAACATTGTTCTGCAACATGGATGAGGCGCAGGAAATGCAGTGAACAACTGGCTGGAGGGGTTCAGTATGCGGAAGGAGGATTGTCAAGGCCATTATGCACTAAAACGATTCTACCCCTCAGACCCACACTCTCCAGCCGAGAACCCACAGCTCGGCAGGCAGCCCAACTGGTGGAGAGGCCATCGTAGCCAAGCCCCCGAGAGACCACGAGTGCTCTCCATCGACAGCCCCGCCTGGTCGTCCTTGTTTGTCACCGACAGGCCAGCTTCGCAACTACGACATATATCCACCCAATAAGCCTCTTCGCCTCCCGTTGCTACCGACTGATTGAGCTGGGGCAAAGACAACCACGCACTCTTCCGAAGCCGCCGTCAGACACAATCAGCAGTGCCTCATGATCTCCTAGCACGATATCACGGCCAGCCTCTCCCCAGTCTTCGCCATGTCCGGCCGAAAGCTGGGAGGCGGCCGCGTCCTGGGCAGCGGCAAAGGTCTGGCGCCGCCCACAGCCTCCGCCGTCCGCCAGCGTGCCTCGAGCCCCTTCGCGCCCTCGGAGAGCACCGTTTCCATCACATCGGCGTCCACCTCGCCGCCTGTTTCCAGCCCCGCTCCCGACTTTGCCGCACAGGACCTGACGTCCAACATCAGCCTTGGCGGGCCTTCAAAATCGGGGGACAATAGCTCCAAGCTGGTCTGCCCGATATGAGAGGAAGAAATGGTACGCCTCGGCTACGTGAAACCTCCGACTCGGACGCGCTGACCGGATGCCAGATGACATTGCTGCAGCTGAATCGACACATCGACGACGCACACCAGGAGCTGGCCGAGGTCGAGCAGGATGAAGTCAGAACATGGTTCGACAAGCAGGTCACCAAGGCGAAGCGATTTCAGCCTCTATCCATCATCAACCAAAAGCTGCGCGGCCTCGAGGTCTTCGAATCCAACGAAACCCTTCCCGTCTCTTCCGTCGCCGGCCCCCGGACGCAGGTTGAGCAGCCGATCGATCCCGATGAGCTCATTACAAGATCGCATTGGCAGCGCCAGACCATGAACGACCGTTGCACCGACCCGCTTTGTGGCAAGAACCTTGGAGCCGTCAACGGGAGCATCAACTGCCGACACTGCGGACGCTTATTTTGCGAAGAACACACAATGTATCAGATGAAGCTCTCGAGAGCTGCAAAGCACGAACCCGTGCGAGGGTACTGGGCAAGAGTTTGTGAGACTTGCTACAAGTCGCGCGAGGGATACAACGACCACAACGGCCTTCTCATCGACCACACAAGCGCATTCACGGAACTCCGGCGGAAGAGAGTCGAGAGGCAGAACTTGGAGGTCGCCAGGCTGGAAAAACGGCTGACAAAGCTAACGACATTGCTCGCCAATCCGCCAGAAGAAGTGGCCACAAACAACGGCGCGTTATCGGTGGCCAGCTTGACAGGGCAGAGGAACCCAAGAAAGTTGCTTGAACAAACAGTGGTGACCTGGGAGGATGATGCGTCGGTGCCGAGTTGTCCATTCTGTCAACAGGATTTCGGGTCGTGGACATTCAGGAGGCACCACTGCCGGATTTGCGGCCGGGTTGTTTGCGCTGATCCCCAGACAGGCTGCTCAACACTGGTCGGGCTGAACGTGGCAAGTCGTATGTCCCCCCGTGTATGCTACCGAGCCGAGCAAGATGAACTGACTTGATTTTAGATTTGAAATCTGCCACAGAAAAGCTATCAGCCGCTACCGATCAGCTCAGCATCGATGTCCGCATGTGTCGCGACTGCAACCACACCATCTTCTCGAAACGCGACTTTGATGCAGCCCTGGCGTCCAAACCGCCCGATCAACGCGCTTACGAGACTCTTCGGCAGTTCGAGCGCGGCATTCGTCAGATCATGCCCATCTTCCAACGGACACTTCTCGCACTGCAACCCGAAGGAAGCAACGCCTCAGGCGAACACCCGCCCCCGACACACGCGCAGATCCAGGAAGCCTCCAAGATCCGCAAGCGTCTCACCGACGCGTTTACGAAATATGACACGGCCGCACGCCGCCTTCGCGACCTCAAAACAACCTCCAAGATGCAGCTTCGGCTCCAAAACGCAATCTACGCCGCGGCGTCGGCCTTTTTGCACACGCACATGCTCACCCTGAAATCAGTCCCGCAGATCCTTCGCTCTCGCTCCTCCCAGAGCTCGCAGTCTCGCCTCTTGACACTGCAGCAACAGAATCTGAACGGATCATCGTCGTCGCTGAGCCAGCTCTCCTCTTCCTCGCCGTTGCGCAACGGGGAGGCCGTCGACATGTCGGAGACGGGCAGTCAGGCCGGCAGCGAGGCGAGCACGCAGGTCTCGGCCCTCGAAACGGAAGAGAAGGATCTGCGCGAGAGGCTGGTCGTGCTCGAGGAGCAGCGGTTCATGGTCAAGGAGATGATCGACAATGCCAGGGGATCGAGGCGGTTCGAGGAGGTCAGCGCCCTGACGCGCAACATTGAGGAGTTGGATTCGGAGATTGAGGACGTGAGGAGCCGGGTTGGAGATGTGGAGGAGAGGTGGCAAGGGCTTTATGCTGGTGGCATTGCTGCCTGAGGGGTGACGCGCCGGCAGCTTTGAGACTCGAAGGGAGGGAGCGTGACGTTTTATGATTCGTGTTTATAGCATTGCAAGGCGTCGAGGAGCCGGTCCCGTTTCTTTTTTGACTACTTGCAGTTGGTTGAAGCAAGAGTTAGGATAGTGTTCCAATAGTGATGTATTCAACAATGCGCGTCAATCTCTGAAGCTTAGGCTCGGTTGCAGTCATGTTTACATCTTGCATGTGAAGTGTCTAAGTTTCTGCACTGTAGTCACGCAGCGTTGGCCACTGGCGTACTATACATAATGCGGCGCGATGGTTCTTGTGGTGCTGTTACAGTCCTTGAAAAAGCTTGTGCCTGGCTGGAATCGAGGTCGTCAGCATATCTCCTTGACAGGGATGGCAGTTGCCGACGGAATGAACCCTCCACCACCCATCACATGTTTGATGGGAAGACGTGAGGCCATGTGCGTAACTAATAGACCTTTTGGCATCTTAAATAAGAAAATCGAATATAGAATATAGCTCTGGGTTTACGATAGGGAACATGTTTGAGAGCTATAGAATCGCTCTACGAGGGCCGAGTGGGCAGTTATGACAATTCTGCCCCTTCATAGCTCATCTGCAGGTACTGGTGCGTGGCTTCATGACGTCTGGTGGATAGATTGATTAACGCTTAAAGGAACGACATCACATTGCTTGCACAGGGAGGAACGTAGCACTGAACGTTTTCAAGTCGAGCAGCAACGGGCCCAAAACTACGTCATGGAATGAAACAGTGCATTCACCGAGATCACCATATAGGCATCTACCGATAGGTATCATAAAAAACAAAAAGGGACTCATCCACCCGTCTTGGACGTGCTTTCCGCCCAATGATCCATCCAAAACGCCGCCGGAAAGAAAAATCAGAAAGATACATTGCCAAGCCACCTTTCACGCAAGGCGTATATACGTTCACGCCGTCGTCTTTCGTCCTAGGCTGGAGGGCATCATTGGCCGTGGCTGCTTCACCAGGTCCTTCCACTCCACGACGTCGGCCGTCTCGGTCTTGGGGGCCTTCTAGGACACACCGTTCTCGACACCGCCGAGGAACCTCCTGACCCGCCCAATTTCGAGCTCGCCCTTTTCGCTCTCGACGGCCCTCAGCAGCCCGTCGACCATGGCGTCCACCTCGCCTTCGGGCACGCCCGTGCACATGGCTACGACGCGGCGATACTTGACTTCGACGTCTCGACTCCGCCCCTTCAACGCAAGGGCCATCTTCCGCAGCCCGTCTCGGCGGTTCTCCACGGCCTTGGATCGCGCCTTGAGCGTCGCACCGGGTGGCAGAAGGCCAGCAGCGCCATCAGCGCCGCTCTCGCTGGCGGCTTCGAGAACGGCGGCCAGCTCTGTCTCCCATGCTCCGGATGCGAGGGCGTCGGGACGGCCCTGGCGTTTTTGCTCTTGCATGAGACGGACCTGCTCATCCTCGCGTGCGTGTGACAGGTTGGCGACCTTTTGACGAGCGAGCTGCTGCTTCTTATGCGTCTGCTGGAGGGTCTCGAGGGTGCGGCGCGCGTCGGCGAGTTGAGTCGTCGAGGTGCGGAGGACCGCATGGAGGGAGTCGATACTGGCCTGCTTGGACTTGATCTCCGCTTGAAATGTGGTCGAGGTTTCATGAAGGAGATGTGTTATTGCTGGAATGAATTAGTCTTGACCCTCACAGGTCTAGATCAGGGTAGGGCACTCACAAGAGATGATCTCATCACTGCTCTCGCGGGACTTTTGACTGCTGGGCGCAGTGCCGTTCTTTTCCGTAGTAGCGTCGCCATTCGTACCGTTGACATTGTCTTCTGCGGCGTCACCGCCAATGCCAAAGTCGAGAGGCCGTAGACCAGCCTTGTTAGCGATGTGTGGATCCGCGTGAACTTCAAGGAGTTGAGAGATGATGCTTCTGTTGCCGATGCGTGCCGCAATATTCAGAGCCGTGTCGCCCGAGTTGTCTTGCACGTTGACAACCTCCATCATGAAGCGGCCGATGCCCATCTTTTGCTGCTGAGACTGCGAGCTCGACGTAACACCTTCGGCATCGCGGCCCTTGGCTGCGGCGTCTGAAAGCGTTGCCCTGCCTTGGCTGCCTTGGCGTACGACCCATTCCAGCAAGCTCTCGAGATAGTAGCGGCTGGCTGCGTTTCGTCCCTTGACGGCGCTCGTCATGGCGATGTGGTGTAGCGCAGTGCGTCCCTTTGCGTCCCGAACCTCAATGGTCGAACCGAGAACCTCGAGCAAGTCAGGGAACGATCCGAGGTCCATCGAATTTGTCACGACACAGGCCCGCATCAGAGCCGTCTCGCCTGCTGCGTTCACGCGGAAAGGGCTAGCGCCGTAGCTCAACAATGTCTTCAGGAGATGCATGCGAGAAAGGGTGGCTGCCCAATGCAAAGCAGTGTGGCACTGCTGGTCGATGGGCATGTCAAGCTCGGCCGGGGTAAAGGATCGTAGCATTTCATGCTTGTTCTGGTCAGATGCGGCCGCATCCATAAAGAGACCCATGAGCATGCTTCGTTTTTGTTCGGCATCGGGGGAGACCTCAAAAGGTAGAGGTGACAAGGGGCTATAGCCGTCGTGTGGTTGCGCATTGCTGACGGCTTGTGAGTAGATGAAGGACTCGTTGGGTTCTGTTGGTGAGCCGGGAAAGTTCTCTTGAAGCATGTCCATGTTGGAATGTGTGTAGCCAAAGCTGTCGGCCGGGGTCATTGTGACTCGCTGTCGCTTCCTTGGCGGCTCTGCGCTCGGTTCGGAAAAAGGCTGTGTCTGCTGGGACGACATTTGCGAGTTCGCCTGCTGGCCATAATCCGAGGCGAAGCTCTGTTGCGAGTTGCCGGGGAAATCGTCAGCGTTCTGCATTGAGCTCTGGCGACTAAAACTCGGGGCGCGTGTCGGGCCATTGCGACTCCTGGGCCCCGGCGATTCGAAGCGTGCTTTGCTGATAGCAGCCACGGCATGCGATGCGGTGCTGGAAATGTTCTTGAAGAAGGTGCCGCTGAGACCGTTGCCCCTGGCCTCGTTGCCGAGGTTGTACATGCGCTTGCGCTGGGCGGCCATGGCCTGCTCCTTCGTCGGCGTGTTGATGTCGCCGCGACCCGCGATACCGCCGTCCTGGCCCATGTCGTAGGTCAGTAGAGGACGAAGAATCTCCTCGACGCCATATTGGCGACAGACCTCGACGGCTCGCTCAAACTTGATCCATGTACCCTGGTATTTGCCGTAGCCGCCCTGGACCTTTTCGTGCTCGCCGGTCTGGATCTCTTTCTCGAGAATCTTGGTGCGCTTTCCCTTTTCGACGCCGGCGACCTTGAGAATCTGGGTGGCATTGAGCCAGCTGTCGTTGCGCCGGCGCATTACGGCAACACCTTGGACCTCCATTTCGTATACGTCGACGCCGGAGTAGACGGCCTTCCGTAGATGTTAGTGACTTAAAGAAAAAAAAAGGCCCGCGATTCAGGATGGGGACACAAAGGGAGGGTTCTTGCGAGGAGACATACAGAGTAGATCTGGTGGTCGGCCGCGGCCATCTTGGAGCCACCGTCGTAAGGGCGGTACCCTGATGATGCCAAGCCCGGCTGGGATTGTTGGCTCATGGTGAAGGATTGCTGTGAGGAGGGTCTTGATTGAGATGCTGCCTGCATCGTGAATGAAGACAAGACCAGCCGCGTGGTGTCGGTGGAAAATGCCAATTACGAAGATAGGGCCGGTCGCGACGTTGCGCAGATGGGGGGGTCGAGGGGTGCGGCGTCTAATCGTTGTAGGGATTGGCTGTGAGGGGGGCGCGAAGGGCGAAAGCCCAGCCCAGGGGGTTCGAGTGTGACGTGCGTGGGGAGTTGGAGGAAGAAGGAGCGGATAGCGCCGTCAGAGGCTGCAGGATAGGGATGGCGGAGGTTTTGGGGATATTGGGGATATCGCGATAGGTAATGTAGATGGTGGCGGACAATCGGATTGTCGTCGAGAATATAGTCGTGAATGGATGGGAGTCGTCTCTCGAAATTGATTCGCACGTCAGGAGGGAGAACGGAAGCAGAAGAAGCTGGGTGCCTCTTGGAATCGTCGGGTGCGTCGCGCGGCAGCAGTTCGGATGCGAGTCGAGGCGAAAAGGGAAAGGTACCCGGGTTGGCGTCAGCTACATTATCGTCCCTTGGTGGAAGATCAGCGCATGGAGCCACTGTGCGTGTCTGCACGTGAGTATGCTGGGTGCCGCGCGGGGGTGGAGATGTGCGTTGGAGTGAGTTGAGGCTGTCGGTGAAGGCGGCGTTGCTGAGGGGGAGGAAGTGATGCAAGGTTGTTTCGTGGCCGTCGTCAATTCTGGGCTCTGGAGCCGGGGTCTGGCCGAGAAACGAGACGTAGATGTGGTAGACTGGGGGATGGATGGAGATGGGAACTATGGAGCTGGACGCGTGAGCTTGGCCAGAAGAGGAATTTCAATTAACCCAGGACGTGTCGGTTTCGCGAGTTTGCGTGTCTCGAGCGTGTAGAGGGCGTGTCCTTTCGCGTCAGGGACGTGCCCTGGTGACCCAGGACCCTACAGGGGCACCTACTGCCTACACATTGTACCTTAATACCTGTAGACGTGCTGAGGTGCAGCGTTCAGAAGTGCTTGCAGTGGGCACGTGCATGTGCACAAATGTCTTGCGTGAGACCCCACTCAAGCTGCTTGTGCTTGTGCGCCTTCAGACTTATGCAGCGTGGCAGCATTTTGATCTCGAAGCTTGATGTCAAGCTCCATTTCAACAATCGATCGGTTTGCCTGCTTTACGAACAAACGACGTGTCTTGGTGACACCTTTGATGACCTCAGCCACATAGTTCGAGCTCCTTGAGCTCCCCCGACACCTGCAACATGTCTCGAATACCCCTTTCTCGACCTGTACCTCCTCTACATCTCTACCGACACCTCCTCCGCGAAGCCTCATACCTTCCCGAACTCTGCAGACCGTACGTGTACCATCGTATCAGGGACCGCTTCCGATCTGCGAAAGGCACCTTTACAAGTGTGAAGTGGACCGGCAAAACAAACGATACCCTCGAAATAGCCGCCCGCGAAGCCAGACGCCGCACCAAGGCCGCTTTGTGGGAAGGTGAGAGGCACCTTCGACGTCTTCGTGCCGCCAACGCCGGCGATGTTGCTCGCATGCAGCGCATCCTCCGCCTTGCCTTCGGGCGCCTCGGCAAGCGGCGCCGCGAACTGATGGCCGATCTTCTCCACCAAGATCCGCCCTCGGACACGGCCGCTCTCGAGGCACGCCTCAGCAAGCTGGACCTCGCCAAAAACACGACCGACAACTCCGCGAGCAGGACGAAAGAGCCGCCCCTGAAGCCGCGAACACCTGACCACTGGGATACCGAAAGCCTGCTCGCCTATCTTCGGTCGCAGAAACGTCACCAAGACCACACCACACCTGCAACCTGGTCGAAGAGCCCCCTGACCAATCTAAACCCAGAGCGAGACCTCGACAAGCTCAAGACCATCCTTGGCCAGCCCATGCCAGAGAGGAGACTGCGCATCCGAAGAGAGAAGTGGTGGAAACACGCGGCTGACAGAGTCATGCCACCTCTGGCGAAAGCAGAGTGGGATACTCTGGCCCAGGCCGCCCTTGGAAACCTACCTGTCGACCAGTACACAACCCTGCCGCGACGCCCTTTGGCCCGCTCCAAGACACCGGGAATCAACCCTGCACAAAAGAGCTGGAACTGGACGCCCTATGCTGACAGGCCCGCATCCTTGGTTGAGAGGCCACGGGCCGTCACGAATGTCAGGTTGGTCGACGAGCCAGAAGTAGGACCGTACGGCGGAGACCTAGAGAGCCGAATCCGACCCCTGTCCAATAGGCAGTTCCGGAGGCAATACCGGCAGATTTACGAATCTTCTTCCTTCGCCGAGCAACATCCGACTACGTTGAAAAAGTCATTCCAATGGGGCACACGCGGCTGGCCTCCCGTCGCCACACCAGCTCAGCTTCAGCGCTACATTAACTCGGCAGAGGTCCCAGAGCCTGACCGAAACATCAGAAAGAGGACCAAAGCATGAGACACAATACCAAAGCGTCTAAATTTTATATGACATTATTTTCTCTACTACTGGGCTCCCAGCCCGGCGAGGCGGGGCAGGGTGTCTCCGTCCACGCGCATGGTGACCCATTCATCCATCGACTGCGCACCAATGCTCCTGTAAAACTGGATGCTCGGTTCGTTCCATTTGAGGACGCACCACTCAAGACGAGCGCCGCCCGTTTCCACGACCTCCCGCGCCAGCGCCGAGAGCAACTTCTTGCCGTACCCCTTGCCGCGCTCCGTCTGGCGGACGTAGAGGTCCTCGAGCCAGATGCCGTGGCGCGCACGCCAGGTGCTGTAGCTGTAGAAGTATAGCGCCATGCCTACGGGCGTGTTGGACTCGTCGAAGGCGAGCAGGCAGCGCGCCGGTCGCGCGGGTGTCGTCAAGTCAGCGCCTCCCGGAGCCGACAGGTTGGAGTCACTCGGCGCAAAGGCAATGGTGTTGGCGAGGGTCTCTTCTGTGGCCTGCACCGCGGAAAGCTCCTTCTCGTAGTCGGCCAGCTCTTTGATGAGCTCCAGGATTGTAGGGACATCTAGACAGGTCAGCGAGGGGTCTGTAGAAACGCAGAGTGCCTTGATTCAGGGAACACATACCTTCACGACGAGCGTGGCGGATGGTGCAGGACGACATGGTGGTGAAGGGGTGGGGCTTGATGAGGGTAGATGATCTTTGTGTGAATAAGATCAGCCTCTTGTCGGCGACTTGAAGCCCAATGCTTTATATACCAGAAGGTTGTGCTAGACCGACTTCGGCAATCGAAAGGGCGACGCGAAGGGCGTCGTTCATGACATTTTGAGGTGGGATGACTGGCAGAATTACCCCACATTCATTGCACACTGGACCCCGCGGCGCTGACCGCTTTCCACCCTGACGATCACCATGTCGGCGGATCGTGAATGCCGCTCGTTCTTGAGCCTTCGAATTCCTTCCTCGTGGTTCTTGGCCATTCTTCGACACGCGAAAGTCGTGTCTTCCATTCAAGCACGGCTGTTCAGTCTCGCGGCGAGATGGGGCGGTATGCCGATTCATCGAGCTTGGTGTCGATGGCGCGACATTCACACGAATCAATTTCTGTGTTACGAATGTAATGAATTCTGGACAGGCCAGTCCGGCTTCGTGACTACTCCTACCCACATCTGTTGTATCGAGGTTGGTTCGAAGGCTGCTTCGACTGTTGCCGACACAATGGCATTGGTATACCCGGCCATGGCCTGTGGAAGCCCCTGGGCGTCTGCTACCTAATTACACTCTTGTACAGGTTCATGAACAACATCAGATGCCCAAATCGTGGGACTTATTCACCCATCCCATATACATGTATATAGGTTGAGTGGGGTTTCCGTTGTAGGCATGCGTAAACCCAGCAATATCGCAGACTACCTTACGTCGACTCTTTTCCACCATGGTCGATTTTACCGTTCCCGTATACGAGAAGCTGGCTTCTTGGAACCAAAATGCTCGTCGCGAATACATTAGCGCTTGTCTTTGTTTCCCTTACGACAACATGCATCCTCGCTCCGCGGTAATTCAACACCTCCAGGCCGCCGTGTCTCGACTACAGAAAAAGCAACCAGTCATTGCCTCAGAGATTCACCTATATAGACAGTCAGGGATGTTGTATCTGGCATACAACCCTCCGAATTGTTTCGAAACCGATTCCTCAGTGGTCACCGTGGAGGAGCGCCCTGTCGATTCTTTGGGTGATGATTTCCCTCGTGCCTACCAAGAACTCCGAGATCTACAGTGGCCACCGGGCTTTTTCATGGACAAGCATCAGCTTCTTGGATTGGGCGACTTCAGCATCTTCCCCCGTGCCAGGGCCTTCCGCCTGCAGGTCACCTTTCTAGAGGACGGTTTTCTCCTGTGGGTGCATCTCCACCACTCCGTTGGTGATGCCGCATGTCTAAGTGCCATCCTCGTCAGCATCGCTGCGGAAACCTGCGGGGACAACGACTCACTGTCCCCGCCCATGACGCCCCTCCAGCCAGCGAAACTGACAGCTTCTATCGCGCCTGACATCTCGTGGCATGATCTCGCCACCTCGTGCCCCGAGCTCGGCCTCTTTCCAGAGAACACGCCCTTCGACAGCGTCGCCACACCTCTGCCGCGGCTCGACCCTCCTCCCCCCGCCGCCCAACCTTACACGAGCGCCATATTCGTGATCAAGGTCGACGCGCTGAAGAATATCGGTGAGATGATCCGTCTCGTGAGCTGTGTGGATAAACCCCCCTCGATCTTCGTCGTCTTGTCGGCCCTGACCTGGAACTACATCACTCGCGCGCGGTACAAGCACGAAGTGGCATATGCCATGGCCACGCCCGAGGTCGCGACGCTGGGTTTGACCACGCACTGGCGGCAACGTGCCTTCCAGAAAGAGGCGGCACCATACTTCGGCAATGCGTCTGCAGGCGTGATTACAAGGGTTCCGCGGGATGTCCTCCTCGGGCTTTCCGGACACCCTAGCAAGCCCGGCGGTCTGCCGGCTTGGGTACCTGCCGTGACGGAATCGATACAGGTGGCCTTCAAACACGTAGACGAGCCGTTTGTTGCCGTGAGAACGGCCATGATGGACAAGGCAGTGAGGGAGGGAAGAGTCTTGGGACGCACGACCTCTCCCTTCTACGCCGGTGATCTCGAGATGGACTCGTGGCGTCATTTAGGGGTGCACGCCCGGTGGAAGATTCCTGGGGTAGGTGTGGCCGAACCCGATCGGGTGCGCATCGTAGCTGGGAACACGGGCGGTGGCAGAGGGGTCCTCGTTCTGCCAGCGAAGCACGACGCGGAGTATGTGGAGCTCTTGGTGACTCTTGCTGAAGGGTCGATGAAGGAACTGATGGCGTGCCAGGAATGGATGACCCTCGTAGACAGGGTGGTCAGGGCACACGGGGAAACCTGAACTTCGTTCATCTAGGGGATGTCACGCAATTCTGAGGCAGGTACCCCGTTAGGTCAGGCTGTCGACAAGAGGCTATCGTAAATAGAATGGCATGATTACACTCGGTATCTGAACAATACTAGCATCCTCTCCATAAGAAGTGTTTAAACGACGCGGCTGCCCTCCAATGCATCGGCCGCGCTCTTACTGCGTGGGACGTCCTCCTTGCCGTAGTGGTTGTCAGGTCCGCCAAGCTCCTCGATCGCCTTTTTGCTGTTCTCCTTGGACTCCTCGCTCGTGTCTAACCTTGTCAGTGGATGATTCCCCATAAGCTAGGATTGATGGTCACGTACTGGGGTTGGAGAGATTGGCCTTGTGGCCAGAGATCTTGTTTGAGATGTCTTCCTTGCCCTGACCCAACTCCTGCATGTCGTTGGAGATGACGGACTTGGCACCGGCGGCAGACATTCTGAATAGATATTTGAGATGAGGTTTTGTTAAAAGTGTTGTGAATGGTGTTGTGAATGTTCAGAGTTGTAGATTGATTTGCGGTGAAATGGTGCTGTTGAGCAGAATCCCAGGCTCATATACCTCCGCCAGGACTGTTTGAATATGACGTTAGGTGACCGTCTGGTTTCCCCGCTATTACAACACTGCCCAGCCCGCATGTTTGCTTGCTTGCTCACGCTGGCCATCTGGCCAAGAGGATCCAAATAACACGGCCATCGCGATTCAACGGCCAAACGACGGATGACCATGTCACAACATGGGTTCGGAAAGGCTAGGCCTATGTGGCTCGTGAAATGGCCGCCACACCGTAGACGACGTGGGTGTGCGAGAACGCGTCTGGAGTTGGCGAAGGCCTGGATGTTGGCAGGGGGCCTGACCCCTTGACATCATATCGGCGTCGAGTGGCTTGGCGATCGAGATCGACAGCGCACCACTCAAGTGCTGTTTGGCTCTGACAATGGGCCTCCGCTGGTTTCACGAACCGAGATACTGCCACACGGTGACGTCGGATCGCTCAGTCGCAGTCGCCAGCCTCACGCGGCCAAGGTTGGAAGCTGTGATAGAGTGGTCCATCTTCAGTTGCCTGAAGCCGCCGCTGAGTTTGATGGCAAAGACGTCACACCTGGGAGCTCCGTCTTCAAGCGACTCTAGTGTACCGGGGAACTTTGCTCAGCTTGGCTAAATTGCCGACGAGCGGTTCAACGTGTTGGAAACGTGTCCCGGCGGTCGGGTGGGCCGAAGGTATCCGCCAAGCCCGTGACCGTGCCGTATCGAGGTTGGAAAGCGCGCCGCCACTCTTCGGGCCGTGAGGAAGGCGGGCGTGGTGCATCACCTGCGATGCGTCCTATGCCGGCGATCGTGTGGCTCTAGGTAGGGAGCTCTGGCGACGGAGTCCATGTCACCAGGTCCTTACTGACGCTCGAGATCCATCTGGTTACCTACCTGATTACCTTTGCCCACCCCATCATTCAAAGATCAAACTCGTCTCGTACGACCATGGATCGGATATTGACCGAGCCAGTCAGGATAGCCTCGCTGATCAAGAGCTCGGGCAGTTCGGCCAGTCGGGGATAACGACGGATCTCGGTGAATTCATAGCAGCTTCTCGGCCTATTTGTCCAATCAGAGACCCTTAATGCTCGGTCTAAGGCGCGCTGTCACAACCATCGGCGTTACATCCCCACCACTGACACGCTCATCGCAACAAATGCAATGGACTCAGACACCATGGCCACGGCGCCCGCAAAAAAGTCTTCATAGCATTTCTTATCAGATTGGTTCAGTCTCCGAACGCAATTGCCGTTTGGTTCAAGGTTCGTAGATCATTGCTGGTGCGGGTGCCTAGTCATGCCCAGTTTTCCTACTTTCGAATGTCGAATCTCACTCATGATTCTCGCCTCCACTCTCTGGTGATATCTCACGTCGACATCTAAGCCAGCGTATTCACGGCTTTAGACTGGTACGTGTGAAGGCCTGAGTTATTTAGGCCTTGAACATATCGAAGATTCTTCACGAAAATTCGGTGGCTGGCCTCTCAACTCAATTCACCATGCCCATGCCTACGACCGAGCTGGGCGGCGTCCGTCCTTCTCAAGCCGAAAGAAAACGCCGACGTCCGGCCCTGGCCTGCGAGCAATGCCGTATGCGAAAGGTCAGGTGCGATAGAACCATGCCGTGTGCGACCTGTACACGGTCACGGTCGACTGTTTGCACATACGCACCCCAGCTGCTGACAGCAAAACGACCAGTGGTGCCGAGACAAGTCGCGCCGGCCACATCCAATCCCGCCTCCGCTGCTTCCGACCACGTTGTGCCAGGCGTTGTTCGGCCCTCTCACGTCTCAGCCTCGGGCTCTATCCCCCCTCATACAGATCCTGACTGGTTGAACCCCTACCCCTCGAACCGGCCGGACCATGAGCCGATCTTGACCCCGGAGAGCCTCCCTAGCACGTCCCCCACGGTCACTGCGCTCCTCGACCGGGTCAAGCAGCTGGAACAGCAACTCAATGTGGCACTCCAGAAGAATGATGCGTCGCGCGACTGCGCTGCCATGTGCAGGGACGAGCCACGCGAAGACGATCACACTCATCGTGGCCTTGTCAACAAAACGCGTTTATTTGGCCCCAGCCATTGGGCCAACGGGGTGACGATGGTAAGTAAAGACCTTGAATTTTATCTGCTCGACAAGAGCTGATCAGCTGCAGGTGGAGGGGATCTTCAAGTTTCTTCATGGTGTCGAGGCCGATAAGACATCAAAGATGTACCAAGACATGGAGAGGTGCAAGAGCCTCGGCAGGCTTATCAAAGGTCAGCGCGTACCAGCTCTGACGAGCATCATCATCGGGAAGAGTATACCCCAAAAGGACCTGGCGGACCAACTTGTCGACGCATACTTGCGAACGTTCGAATCCGTGTACAGAGTCGTCCACATACCGTCCTTTAAAGCCGAGTATGAACGATACTGGGTCGATCCTTCAGCCGCCAACGAATCTTTCATGGTACTTCTGCAGCTGTGCATGGCCATCGGTGCCGCTTTCCAGGACGACACGTTCTCTTTGCGAACCATAGCCACTCAGTGGATTTATGAAGCTCAAGTCTGGCTCATGCTGCCGTGCGAGAAGTCAAAGATGTCCATCGTCGGCCTGCAAATACTATGCCTACTGCACCTTGCCAAGAACACCACCAATGTCGGCTCAGACCTCACATGGATTAGTGCTGGCGCTCTGCTGCGCACGGCAATGTACATGGGACTGCATGAAGACCCTAAGTGCATCGCCAAGATGTCGGCTTTCCGTGCCGAGATGCGCCGCCGCCTCTGGGCCACTATCCTGGAGATCCTCCTGGCGTCCAGCATCAGCTCAGGCGGACCGCCCCTCATATCTCCCATGGACTACGATACGGAACCGCCGGCCAATGTGGACGATGAACAGCTCATTGAGGATGCCGAGTCAGCCTTTCCGGTACCTAAGCCGTCTGATGTCTATACGCAAATGTCGGTGCCGCGGGCCATGCTCGAGACCTTTCAGGTCCGCCTTGTGGTGGCCAAGCATATCAACGATATCCGCGCCAACGCCTCGTACAACGAAACGCTGCGCGTCAATGCCGACCTGACAGCTTCTCTCCAGGGTATGATGCGTCAGCTCAAGAAGCTTCACGAGGGCGGCGACTTGAGCTCTTTCCAGCTGCGCTACGTCGAGTACACTACGTGGCGTTTCTTCATCGTGCTACATCGCCCGGCCCTCGCTCGGGCGCTGCGAAATCCCGTCTACTACTTCTCTCGCAAGGTATGTGTCGACACGTGCCTCCTCCTCGCCAACAGCATGTTCGTTGCGCCCAAGTCCCTCGCACGCCTCGCCTCGCCAGCTGCCACCCGCTCGGACATGGACGCACAACGCCTCTTCGTCAACTGCGCGGGCAGCTACCGCTCAACAATGGTGCAGGGGGGCATGATCCTCGGCATGGAATACCTACTGGTCCTGCGAGAAAATAGCGGCTTCCATGCCACTGGCGCGCTAGGCGGAGGCACCGCCGAGCTGCGCGAGACGATTGATGCCGTGAAGCCTTGGTGCGCCCAGCGCGTGCGCGCAGGGGACACCAACTTGAAGAGTTATCTTGCCTTTGTGTGGCTGTCCGCTCAGATTGATTGCTTCGAAAGAGGCCTCTCCTCTGAAGAGACGGACGCGTTCACGGTGGAGGCAGTCGAGGCAGAAATCAGCAAGTGTCACGACTGGCTGAAGGCGCTGGCTGGGTGTGAGGAGACGTCAGTAGCGGGCGAGATGGCGTTTGATATGGCGCAGGACATCGATTTTGACGATCTGGGGGGTTTCGACAAGATGAGCGAATGGGACTGGGGCGATCTGGTAAGTTGGACACCAGTGTCGTGTTGCGCACACCCACTTCCATGCTTTGACCTGGCTGTGTGAGATTGATTGACTGACAAACCTAGTCCGCAAGTCAAGGTTTCAACTCGAGCTTTGACGTCAATGGCGCGTTCGGCGACGACAACACCCCTTAAACAAGCTGACCGCTGTTATTTCCTTTCATGGGTCTTTCTGCCCATGTTGTCAGTTGCAGGTGTCAGTGTGGCATTGCACGAACAAAAGTTATGAGGGATGAGGCGACGGTCTTGGTGGGGGTTTTTGTTCCCACTGGGGAAGACCACTCCTCTCGGACATAAAGGTACATTAATACAGTTGAGAATTCACGCGGAGCTTGTCTGTTGTGTTGGCTAGGTACAATGGACTTGTTCCCGTCATGCACATGGAAGTCTTGTCCACAACCGCCAAGTTTTGACAAGCTGACTCTTGAACTGACATCCAGCAGAGAGGTACAAGACCCACGTCGATATTGCTCCTCATTGACCAGCAGCGATATGTTCTGCCGAGGTCTGTAGCATGATACTTGTGGAATCGGTAAATTGTCGACTTACCCAGTCATCTTTCTACTGTCGTTGACTCCAAATGTTGAGAAGGTCGCTTGAGCGAACCTTCGTTGAACAGGCGAAGCCCTCAGATCGGAAACAGAATCTTGCCTCAAGCGCGGCGTAGTGTGTGCTGAGAGTCTAGAGCTCAAGGCCCAATGCTCTTCTTTTCACATTTTTGCCTGATAATACGGAAAGACGTCGAGAATCGGGTATTTTCTTCTTTTGCCAAAGAACGTCGTGTGCATGATACTGCTGGACAATAATCTTTGAGGCTGACTTGGTCAGCTCAAGGTCATCCCCCTCGACCTGGGGTTCATTGGCTATTCGCACCTCAATGTTTCAAGACAGCAGGAGGGTCCCTGCAAGCGAGCTTCTTGCAACTCCCCTGGCTTGGTCACCTCCACATTAGTGACGCACGAGCGGGAGGCTGGTTCGGACGACCCTGAGTAGTTGGGCATAGGGCTGAGTCAAAGAGGCGAGTCAACCTTTGCAAGCAGCTAGTGACACGCTTTCTGGGGGCGCGGAAATAGGAGGATCAGGACATTGGCTCATATGCAGGCCTAGACGTACGAGTTCCGCGAATCGGAAAAAAAGTGTCTCTTTTGTACCCCTTGAGTTGTGGAGTAGGCCCCTGGAGTGGCTAGAATCGAAATCAGATTTGTTATGCATTGCCAAAATGATGCCGAGATGAAGGCCAGCGACGCCTCCCTCCGTCAACCTAAGTAATTGAGCCGGCGCCACTGGTAGGGGGCGAAGGATATAGATATAGAAGAGCTCCAGATCCGACTCCAACATATTTCTGCTTTGGTATCAGAGCCTCGCCAGTTCTTTGCTACACTCTTCCATCTTTTGACCACGTTCTTTTACACGTCAATACTTTCCTTTCAACAACAGGCTAGCCCTTTACATTCGTTCGACTCGAAGTCATCTCTAGGAAGAATCAAGAATTATCACTAAAATTCCTGCCACGACTATTCACGCTCCGCACCTAGTCCGGCAATGAATTTCTGCATCCTTGCCGCCGCGGCTTTGACGCCCCTCGCTTCCGCTCACTATTTCTTCGACAAGCTCATAATCGACGATGTCGAGACTCGCAGCAATGAGTTTGTCCGGTCCAGCACTCCTGCGGCCAAGTACAACCCCACCAAGTGGGAGAATATCCGTGACGACATGACGCCCGACGTCAACGATTTCCGTTGCAAGAAGGGCGCGTTCACCTTTGCTAGCCAGACTGGCACTGCCGAGGTGAAGGCGGGCTCCAAGCTTGCTGTGAAGCTCGTTGTCGGGGCCACCATGCAGCACCCCGGCCCTGCCCTCGTCTACATGTCCAAGGCTCCCACCACGGCCAAGTCCTATGAAGGTGATGGTGAATGGTTCAAGATCTTCGAGGAGAGCGTTTGCAACACCAGCGGCGACTTCACCAAGGATGCTTGGTGCACATGAGACAAGGATACGATCGAGTTCACCATTCCCAAGGACACTCCTGACGGAGAGTACCTGTTCCGACCGGAACACATTGGTATGCCCACCATCAACCCATAACTCCACGGGTCAACAGCAACTGACAATGACTTGGAAAGGGGTTCACGGTTCTCACGCTGGGCAGGCTGAGTTCTACTACACGTAAGCCATTGCAGCTCTCCTCGATGGACCAGCAGAAACTGACGTTGTGACAGTTGTGTTCAAGTCAAAGTCACTGGCGGTCGCAACGGCACCCCGGGCCCCACTGTCAAGTTCCCTGGTGCTTACAAGAAGGACGACTCCTCGTTCAACTTTTCCATCTATGGTGGCGTGAAGGACTACCCCATGCCTGGTCCCGCCGTATGGACTGGTGGTAACAGCGGCGAATCTACAGATCCTGTTCCTGTCGAGAGCGAGCCCATCCCTGCTGCTACGAGCGATGTCGCTCCCGCTCCTGTCGTTACCACCGAACCCGCCAGCCCCACCACTGCCCCCGGCTCGGGCTCCGGCTCGGGTGGTGATTTTGACGAGGTCTGCACACGCACCCGCCGACACCGCCAGCGCGGCCGCAAGGCTCGCAGTGCATTCCGCGTGTCTCTCCGCAAGCTGTCAAGCTGTATGCATCGGCCAGCTTCCTGAGCAGGCTATAAACAGCAACCGAGTTGTGGAGCTGCAGGAGTGTGTATTCAATGGTGTATGCCGACCAACAACCTGGTCGAGATGAATATCATGGAGACAGCTGTGAGGTTCAGGATGTCCCTTCAGAGAGGCGTCGCCTGGCGCGGGTTGGCTTTTTTGAAAGACCCTGACACCGTTCTTTTCGTACATTATTTATTGTTCTATACGTATTTGGATAGAATATCATTCCGCGCTGCTGCAATGGTAGTCTTCTGCGGATTTCTACCTTTAACACTTCGGGCTCGGTGTTGCTTTGCATGCTGTAGCCTAACCGAGATCAAAGCATTCTCCCATTGTCGTTATCTGATTCGACTGATGCATATCAATGCTTGACAATCATCAGCATTGTTAGCTTCGTTCAGATCATGCCCTTTCGTAAAGACACGGTCGATAGGTCACAAGGATCGTACTGCAAAACCTCGGTAGCTCTGACGCGATTTGCATGCGTGTAGCCCAACATTCCATTGAATCAAAATCACAGTAAAACGCGTGGATAATTACAATCAGTGACTGTCTTCAGTATGCAACGCGCTTTGATCCCGAAATTAACAATGTGACATGTAGATAAAACGACGGAGGCATTGCGTACAACACAGAGTCAGATGTCGTTGGGGATAAAGATACAGAGTATGCAGACATACCCAACCAGAGCAAGGGTCCTGCGGCTGTCCAAGTTCAGTGTCTGTGCAGTAGAAGGTTGGCGGTCCCTGCGCTTCTGTTAACATGCTCGTCAGTGGTGTGAACCCCTGACTAAACCTCAATTGTGGTCTGATGTTGGTCCTCTCGTTTGGTTTGCTCTTGGCAGCGGGGGGCTGTCCTCACATGATGCATGACCATTTCAAGCTTAAAGTGTCTGAATTTTCTGATCATGGCCTGCCTGAAATTTTGTTTTCGGAAGTTTCCGGTGTATTCTAAGCTCGAGGAACCTGATTGGAGATCTGTTGGTGCTTCTCGCAGTCACCGAGCAATTTGCTGTGCTCATCAGCATTGTCAGGCATTTTGGGGGTTCGCATGAGAAATTGGAGCCCGCATGATGTCCTCCTCACTTCTTCCATCTCCAATGGAACATGTGCCATCCAGACTCTGGCGCTTACGGCCCAGTTCGCGTGTTTCCGCTCCTTTTGTATTGCGATGGTTTGTAAGAACCTGTGCCGCCGAAGGTCTGCAGCTCGTGCCCAGAGAATGCGGTACTCTTGGACTTCCCGCGGGTGTTATCGTCCGTGCTGGGGAGCAATTTAGGCGCCATTACCCTGACAAAATGTTTCAGCGTCGACAAACTGGCACACATGATGAGAAGATTAGCTTCCACGCAGCTTTTTACACGGTTAGCTTCGTTGTGCCACACTAAGGTAGGTAGGTGTCTTACATCCAAACACGTATTGGACCACCTCCCCAGGTTTGATCGACTTCATCCAACACTGAAATGAGCAAGGCCAGCCTGATCATGGAAGTAAGTACCGTTCTGAATGTTTCATCATGTTAGTCTTCCATGAAGGAGCTGACACACTATCCGTGTTGAGATATTCGCGCCACTTACGCAGAGCCAATGATAAACATGAGCAACAATCCCGCCTTTTTGGCCTTTGACATGTGCAATCGAAGAACCATGGGAATTGGGATGCCAATGATGATAACGTCGGTAACAACGCCAAGGCTAGCTGTCGCCTGAAACATGGCTTGCCTGTCGATGCAAGACCCAACATCTGGGCGAATTGTCAAGTCAAAAGCCTTCCGAAATGGCTGGCATGGAAATAGGGAGCTGAAGAGGATACCCGTGCTCGAACCGACGACGAGAAACATAGCTGCGCAGACTGACCACCGGTACCACTTTTGGCTGTTGTTCATGTCCTTCAGGAAGAGCAAGATGACAACTTTAGAGAAGCAGGTTGGTATGGTGTATACGATGGAGTTGATGTATGCAGCGAACTAGATTCGTCAGCTTTTCATCTATGAAGAGAACTCTGTCTTACCGTTGACCAGTGCGAAGTCTTGGAATTTCTCGAATGGGATTTCCCAACCGTGTACCACCATATACGTATGAGCAAATGATCCTATGATGGAGCATCAGAGGCAAGACCACAATCGGGGAGTCCATTGTTCGGATACGCACGAATGGTGAGGACCTGAATGGCGATGGAACCTAGCTGTTGGCGGATCCAATCAGTGATGAGGGAAAGTCACAGCCGAAGCAATCCCCGCAACGTACCCAAGCAATAACGAGAAGAACTGCGTGTCTGTCAGTATTGGGATGCCGACTGCTCTGTACGATAGCTCGACTCACAATCATCAATACCCAACGAATGACGGACAAATGCTTTGACATAAAGCCTCTGGAGAATGAAAAGAAGTGCGAATACCATGCCCACAGCAGATACCACATACGCTGTCAGGACCGAGTTCCGTCGAGGATTGTCAAAGTCGACGACGTAACCTTCTGGCGGCGGAATGGCCACCAGAACACCGTTGACTACTGACATCGCGCCACCAAGGATAACGAAATAGAGGACTCTGTTGCCTTTCGGATATGTACTGAACGTCCTTGCTAAACTGGCATGCGTTTCCGATCTTGCAGCCCAGATCAGCCAACATCAAACTGGGGAGACAGCACCTTACATACAGCTACGCAGAATCCATGATGTGCATGAGCGTTTCGAGGCCTGGTACCTGCGCCTGGCTTGCTGTGAAGGGCCCAAAGTGATTGCCATGAGAATCACTATTGACGGCCAACTCCGTGCTATACTGACAGGGGACCAGGCTGGAGCCGAGACTAGGGTCCCTTAAAGTCGCCCTGAATCGCCCTCATCCTCGTCACTGCATCGGAGACCCGCAGTGCTACATGATAGCCCACCATCACCCCGGACGGCCGGCCGGCTAGCCTCCGCGGCACAGGACGCTACAGGGGTCCATGCCAACAGGCACCCAGATGCTCCGGGTACTCCGATACTGTGCCGTGCTGCACGCATACAAAAGCCGTCGGGGGCATGCATCAGCAAGACGTCTTTGGTTATACCTGGACAACTGGCATTGATTTCTTTCGACCTCATTCCGCTACCTGACTGGAAGCAATGTTCCTTGCTTATCATCGAGCTCTGTTGCTATCTGCTGCCATGCCTCTCGCTGCACGCGATTGTAGCAACGAAGGGGCGAGAGCTGTGAGTCCTCAGCGCCCCCTTCATGCTTTTCACCACTAGATGAGAGTTATTACTGACGCCTTCAACTTACAGTGCGAGGCCCTCGTCTCGGCGGGGCTTGGGGACCAGGTCCTTGCTATGGCCGACGCAGCATACGAGGCCCGCCTTGAGTCATGGTGGTCAAGCAGCTCGAGACTTCGACCCGCTTGCATAGTTCAACCCAAGAATGCACAAGATGTCGCCAAGATAGTCAGCGTCCTCGGTCAGAACACGACGGGGGATTTCGCTGTCCGAAGCGGAGGACACAGCCATTGGGCAGGAGGCAATAACATCGACGGCGGTGTTACTGTTGATCTGGGTCATCTGAGAGCTACGAAGTACAACACGGAGACAGGTATCGCCTCGATCGAGCCTTCTTCTAGGTGGGCTGATGCATTCCTCACACTCGAAAGGTCTGGTGTTGCGGTGCCCGGCGGACGCGATGGCAACGTTGGCATTGGTGGTTTCCTGACTGGCGGGGGCAATTCGTACTACACTGGCCTGTACGGCTTCGGCTGTGATAGTGTCGTCAACGCCGAAATTGTTTTGGCAGATGGCAGCATCATTGATGCCAACAAGGACAGTCACCCTGACCTTCTCAAGGCGCTCAAGGGTGGCTGGGGCAACTTCGGTATCGTCACTCGCTTCGATCTCGAAACATTCCCTTCGAAGCCCTTGTGGGGAGGTATACGTGCATCGGAGAACTCTCACACAGCGGCTGTCGGAGCTGCCATGGTGAACTTCACAGCAAATTACCACAAGAATCCAGAGGCTGCCTATCTCATCAATTTCACCTACAATCCTGGAATGTCTTCAGACATCCTTGTTGCCCAAGTCGTCGTTGACACAAGTGGCAAGGTGGCACCTCCAGCTTTCGACCAAGCTTTGGCAGTGCCTGAACTCTTCAACGACATCAAGGTCCGATCCATGGGTAACATGTCAAATGACTACCTTCTGCCTCCTAGCCTACAGTCAGTCGAGTGTCGTCAACTCTGATATATGTAACGCTAACAAGACCCCATTGCAGCAATGTCTGGTTTACCTTGACTTTCAAGAATGATGAGCGCGTCATTCAAAAGTCTGCCGAACTGCACGAGAAACTTGTAGCCGAGATGCTCAAGACCGTGCCCACGAACGACCTGGGCACCCAGAACCTTTTCCAGCCCATTCCAAAGTTTTTCGCCGAGATTGGGGAGTCTCGTGGTGGTAATGTCCTCGGTCTCGACCAGGTCGAGGGAGACTCCCTTATGTGGCTCCTCGCCTGTACCGTCAGGGAACCCGAGCATGAGAAATTGCTGCACGAAAAGGGATTGGAGATGAAAGCAGCCCTGGAGGAGTTCGCCAATTCGATTGACGCGCTTCGACCATGGGTCTACATCAATTATGCTGATCCCACGCAAGACCCAATTTCAAGTTATGGCAAGGCCAACGTTGAGTTCTTGCAGAAGGTTTCGGCGAAGTATGATCCCACTGGTATGTTTCAGCGCAGAATGAGAAGTGGATTCAAGCTTCCGGCTGCTGCCAACTAGATAGCAATATCTAAAGAAAATCTTCAACGTGGATCCCCATCATGGCCACCAGTATTAAAAGCCCTACCCTTGTTCTAGACGAAGGACACTTGAATGACGGCTGTGGGCCATGCAAGCCATTTATGTACTGCCTCGGAGGCCTGGCGTACCTCGCTCAGTATGTGCACACCCCATCCATTCATGAACCAGTACCGGTCGAGAGTCCGCAACAAAACAGCAAAGTGACCGAGCAAAATAAGGGCGATGGGTTCTTTCCTTTCCAGCCGCTCAACGAAACCCGTTTCGATCTGGTATAGCCATGATAACACATGCTGCACTTCCCCCTTGATGAACGACTTTGGCTCGTTTATGGTTCCAAAAGTCGTTTGGAATGCATTCGATAGCAATTTGATGTCGTGTTGGTACACGTCTCGGTCCTTGGAATCGGCCAGTATGCTCACGAGACTGGAGACTTCATCCATCGACTTCTCCCACTCGACAAAAGAGGGCAAAGCTGGAACTTGATGCTGAGTTGCCATGTCTGCGGCTTCGGGCTCCGGTTCTTGGGCGAGGACGCCTGTCAGGATGGCTGGCCACCCTAGCGTCTTGACAACAAAGCGCACCCCAGAGATGAGCGACACCCAGGGGACCTCTCCATTTTCTGCGACTACTAAAAGGTTCCCAGGACTTGGACCTCTGGCAAACGCTGTGAAGCAGATCATTACGGTAACCATGTACAAGGCTTGACCGTTTTCTAGGCTGATGAACGGGAGAAGATCGGTAGCTTGCTGCAAGGCAATGGTAGAGTGGCGGTCGGCAAGTGCGACGAAGCGAATGGCATCTTCGGGCTGTAACCTGACCTGGTGAAGGGCGGCCAGAGCCAGCATACCGTTGAGGACACAGGGATGGCGAAAGCCGAGGACGGGCGCTTTATCCCGGTAGAATTTGAAGTTGTCCCCTAAGGTGGGTGCCGTATAGACCATGAAACTGTGAAAGAGCTCGATGTTCTCGACATCGAGAAGATTTGGTAGTGAGTTTGAGAACTCTGACGGTTGCGTTGACGGCGGGGTTTGGGAGGTGATGCCGGATCCCACTTCGGGACTTTGAGCTGAAGGCGAACCGGAGTGGACCTGTTCGGCCCATGAGCTCCAGTCTGATCGGGGCCGGCCCCTCCGTCTTCCTTCGTGGACCTGGGGCTCCTCCGTATGCTTCGTCTGGGCCTTGAAAATGGCCGTTGGCAGAAAGTCGCAGGCAACTCCAAAACGCTGACAATTGCCGCACTCTGGTTTGGCTTCATCGCACTGCAGAGTGATTGTGAGCTTGGGTGTTCTTTTGCTAGGTATGCAAGCGAGTGGTGAGGGAAGCGAACCTTGACTTTTCTCCTCTTGCACGTCTTGCAACCGAGCCGCGATTTGCGATGATGTCGCCTCCCCCCTTTTTTGGACGCGGTGACACACTTCCCGCAGCAACAAGTCTCTCCTGCTGCGGGTTCTTTTGACGCTGTACAGCGCGACTCGCTGTCCGACATGGAGGCGGTCGCAAATGAATACGATAAATGAGCAATGACGGAACTTGCTGACGAATGGGCTTCTTTTGGATTTCTCAGTCACAAGGGCGGAATAAGTTCGAGTCTTTGAATCCGACACTTTACGAATCTTGGAGGTCACAGTTCTGGAAGAATGTGGACGTCGAGTGGCCAAGCAGACTCCAAGCGTTCCATGACTAGCCCTTCCCCGGAGCTTAGGTGCTACCATGTACAACCTTGGGGCATTTGGTCGCTAGCACCATGAAATCCCCAGTTCCGGGGGACAGGTTCGCAAGAGCTGGCGAATGAGAGCCCTGCCCATGGTCTGAGTTCAGTGTCGCATGTCACGATGGACGATAAAGTGGAGAGCTCGATATGAATTTCCGTACCAAATGCGTAAATTCATTGATTGGCCATGTACCGGCAGTGGGCCAACACAAATAGCGATGGGAGATACGAAGATGGAAAGCTCATTCGAATGAGCAAGCTCACAGGATTGGGTGATATAACTAAAGAGGTAACCTGTATGGCTTAATGGAACTCGGTTTCCTAGGTCCCATTCATCATGTTTGTATTTTGGGCCTTGACGAAGAGGGCTTTTCCAGGCTCCTCTGGGTACAGTACACCGCCAGAGCCGACTTTCAATGAGGGACCTTGCAGGAGGTGAGAGATGTAAGAGGCGTCTCTGACTCGATGACGTGTTCTCTCTGGCAAAAGCGCGGCCTAGTTGATGCCTCGCTAGCCGTAAATAAAGCCCTAGCAAATGTACAGCCTTCATAGTTGGTGCACCCAGACTCCCGCCTTCATGTCGCCGTCGCCGACCCCATAGGCCTACAACGTGCTGGAACCGCCTCACGATCTCTCACTACATTTTCTGAAGGGCCAGGAAACCTTCGCAAGAATTGAAGAAAAGTAAACACGATCCAATGTTTCCTCGTGGAGTATTCTCCACGGTGCGACGCACGACCAACCAAAGGCCGGATGCGCACTAGGATCAAACCATCTTGGGGCTCCTAACGTGTCATGTCGAGCACCAGCCATAATCCGGCCCTGCCACGAATCAGCCTGCTGACCGTTGATTCTCGCTGGTTGCCGCAGCAGACATTGGTGAAAGCGATTGGCTCGTGGGCGCTGATTGATCGCCGTCAGGGATTGTCAGTTGTGCGTCGTGGGTTGGGGGAACGGGAACGACCGCAGCTGGCCTCGCGGATCATCGCCAAGACCTCCGGGGGCATCGTCGTTGCACTGCTTTTACTTTTCTGTCCGCGGGTCCCAGGTCCGTGGCTTGGCTACTTCACGCCGAGCCGCGTTGACGGCATGTGCGAAACGGCCCTCAATTGCCCGCCGCGCGTCTTTGCGGCCAGCTGCGAGCGTTCCAGTGAGATGTCTCCAGAGCGCGCGTTAGTCGTGCCAGAGAGGGAAAAGGGGCGGGAGGCACCGAGCGGCTTCATACCCAGCCAAGCTGATTTGTTCGGGTACCAGACCAACTGTGGGCATGTCGTTTCACTGTCCACAGAGTTCACCTACTACATTTCACAACGGCCGGTCTGCTTGCCTCGGCCAGCGGCCCAGGTCGAAGGTTAACGTGAGCTTCTGTGGTGAAGAAGAGCACAGACAGCGCTGTGATACAGGCGGCCCGCCACTAACTAAGGAGACGTCACACATCGCACCGCCAATTGGCCCCTGGGTCAGCTCACAAGCCGGCAACGGGTTGTGCCTGGGCCATGAGAAGGGCTTGAGGGGCTATCCCAGCTGGACCTCCACGTTTCGACCCGTCCTTTGCATGCATGCATGCCGCCTCAGCCGGAGCAGCAGGCAGCCGATGTGTTGTCACCTAGAAGGAGGCGGACTCATTGAAATGGGTCCCGAACCAAGATCAGGGCCTTGGCAGATCACTGCCGATGATCTTTACAAGGCATCCCTGCGATCTGCAAAACGTCGCCAAACATTGTCACAAGACGCTATCTGCAGAAGAACACCTCCCAATACAATCGGCTGCGATTGCGATTGTGCCCCAAGGCCTTGTCCTCAGAGCGGCGGTGCCAGCCGGACGCCAAGACATGCGTCGTATTTCGCTCTGACTCTCGTCGCCTCTCAAATTCAGGCGGCTCAACTGTGTCGACGAAAGGCACATTGGCATAGACTACCAAGTTGGAACAGGAACCGTGCGGGCGGTCATCGGGGGAAGAATCATGATCAATGATTACAGGCATCGCTCAGCTCAGCAAGCCACCGCCAGAGCTCCGTGTATCTTCGGGATCCCTATCAATATTGGCCCAGCGGAGGCCGGTAGATTAAGGCATGAGCCAATATCAAACAGACCCAAGCAGCGGCTAAGCAGCTATCGAAAGCTGACCGTCCGTCCTTGATCTACGAACTTCAGTAAAATGTTCCGCAAAAGCCTGAGCTCTTGAAGAGAACAGAACGTTGGCACGAGGAGGGCTCGGAACCGGGACGGCTCCCAAATTACAGGCTTTGCAGGTGCTCAGAGCCGTGTGAAATTCTAGGTATTTTGATTGATGCGGACTAGTTTTGAAGTGAACCCTCTGAATGGTCTACTGTATTGACAGCTGGCGTCAATTTCTTCACAACAAACCCATGATAAGGGAGGCTGGCATCCCCTCCCAGGACGACGACTTCAGTGTCCCAGTTGACGCCTGGGCAGTTGAGCCGAGGCATGATGAAGTGCTGGGGGCGGTATGTGACGTAGAGGAACACGCCATCATTTTTGAGGACACGAGATACCTAGATCGAGCGTCAGCGATGGAAAACTCCTCCAGGCACTCGCCAGGCAGTCACCACTAACCTCCTGGATGTATGCGGCAGTCTTGTCCACGACGTCCTGAGGGGGGCTCCACGGGCTACCGTGGATCATGGCGTCGAGAGTCCCCTTATCGAATGCGACATCTATGGACCCCGAAGTGATGCTGTCCATATTGCAGACGTCCAGGAGCCTCCATTCGATGCCCTTGATGTCGCCATGTCTCTTGGACATGAGATCTACGACCACATTGGAAAAGTCGACGCAGAGTTGATCATTGTATCCACGCTCTGCCAGGTCTCGCGGTATAGTCTGGATCAATCTTAGCTGCTAATACATGAGAAGACATCATGTCAGGACCAGCGTACACTGTCCCCTGATCCGAGGTGAAGAATCTTAGGGTTGGTCAAGGGTCCCCGCGACCCGAACAGATGGGGCTCGAGAAAAGGCAAAAGCTCGTCGAACGTCCGGAACCATTCGTGCGTCGGCGTATCGGCCTCAGCCGTTGAATAGCGCTCGTCCCAAAATTCTGGATGGGCGAGCTTCTCGAGTTCTTCGTTGCTCATCATGTCGAAGTGGTAGCCAAGTTTTTCCACAGTGACTCCAGCTTCATGGGGTGTTTCTTTTTGCATCAAGCATGGATTGCAGGTCCTGGACTGTGGAGGCAGGCGGTGTGAGCCGGCCGGTGGGGGCGCCAAAAAGACCCCATAATGATGTATCCCTTTGGTGCCGAAATTCGGCCTCAGTACATACATAGCTTGAACAGCTCTGTTATGGACCTTGATAGGCAACTATTGGGTATATGATTGTAGTAGATAGCTCTACTAGACATGCGTAATGTAGAGGTATCGAGGTAAGGTATGTTAATGTACTGCTCGTTCTATCTTTTAACTCAATTGTCGATATCTATTTCCTGCTACCTGGCTGTCGATTAGTGAAGTACCGAGGCCGAATTTCGGCACCAGAGGGATACGCAGTCGCCAGCTATGGTTTGTTCACCTTGCAAGCTAATAAGCCACCGCCGAGCTCAGGGCTTGCTTCCTCTCGGCTCAGCCTAAAAGCAGCAAGGCTCTGGAATAGATCTGGCTTGGAGGATCCGGCTTGGATAGATCCGGCTTGGATGGGGCTCGGTAAAACCCATCTCAGTGGTTCTCCCCGCTCACTGAAGGGCTCCGAAACGGACCCATATGCAGTGAACCGCACGACCCCCAACAATGTCAATGCCCAGCAAGGGCCAGGGTATGCCCTTCCGGCATCTTGGAGATCCTCAAACACCACGCTCCGTTCGTCGAACGCCCCTCGGGTTGCTAGTGATTGCTCCCGCCCCGCGCATGAATGTTTCTTCGGCTGCGCTAGAAATGATTTCCGATACCCTGTGTGCTTCCCGGTCGATTACCTTGATCGCGATTGGTTCGTCGCACGGTCGTACCAAGAGGCTCTTTTGTGCCCTGCGCTACTGAGCCTCATCTCGTCTTGCAAGGGGGAAAGGCCCAGTTTCGGCGCCAACCACCTCGTGATGCTGTCGTTTGAGTATCATCCCATTGTTCTTTCGGAGCTGAGCCACGCCTGGACCGCCATTCTGAGGCAGTCGCACTGTCACTGTCGTTGCTGGGCGTGAGCCAGCCAGCATCACCGAGTATGCCGCCCGGAGCAGCCTGGGCATCAACGACCTTGTCGTTGCTGGTGTCTCTCACGATTTGACTATAAAGAAACACCATCCATCCCGTCTATCGTCTGTTTTTCTTTCCTCTCCTCATCATCAGCATCAACAACCACCTCAGCTCTTCTCCTCGACCTTTCTCTTTTCGCTTCTCTTTTTCCTCTGGCAGGTCATCTCCTCTGGTTAGGAGATCGTTCCCAGTTTATTCTCTCTCAGCTGCTGTTTCCGCTTTAATTGTTCTTTAATCCGTCAAAACTCCTCAAACCCCATACTCCGACATCATGTTCACCAAGTCCGTCCTCGCCGCCACCCTCCTGGCTTCCGCCCAGCTCGTCGCTGGTCACGGTGCCATCATCGCCGCCACTGGTGATCAGGGTGGTCAGGGCATGGCTCTCGGTGTCGTCACCAGCACTCCTCGTGACGGAACTCGTCGCGACCCCTTCCAGCAGGATTCAACTCGTTTCCGTGGCGCGTCCGCTCAGACCTTTGGCGAGACTGTCGGCGCCGGACCCAACAGCCTCGAGTCCGGCACCAAGGCCATCATGTCCGAGATGGGCGGCCAGCTGCCCCAGGTCTCTCAAGGCGGTTCCGTCGACATGACTCTCCACCAGGTCAACGGTGATGGTGGTGGCCCCTACGAGTGCATGATCAATGCCGACGGCACCGGCGCCACCTGGGAGAACATCCAGGTCACCACCACCCCTCCCGGCCAGAACTCCCGCAACCGTGGCGGCGCTCAGACCGACTTCCCCATGGTTGCCGCCATCCCCGCCGACCAGACTTGCACCGGCACCGTTGCCGGCCAAGATCAGGTCTGCCTCGTCCGCTGCCAGAACGCCGCCCGCGCCGGTCCCTTTGGCGGCGTCGTGCCCGTCCAGATGGCCGGTGCCGCCAACGCCACCGAGGCCCGCCGCCGCCTTGCCCGTTCCATTCTCGAGACGGAGCGCACTCTCGCCAAGATGATGAAGCGTGCCTCCACCTTCCCCGCGAGCGGGGAGAAGCTTGAGGCCTTTGAGCTCGAGGAGGAGGCCGAGGAGGAGGAGGAGCAGTAAGAGATGCGCGCACCCATTCGAGCGGACAAAGCTTGAAGCGCACTGGATTGCCAACAGCTTGAGATACTCCATTTGAAAACGGTCAACCGAGGACGGAGTTTGAGGGTTTTGAATTGGGCGGCGGTTAGAGACAGGGATGAGATCCTTCCTAGAGGATAGCGCAGTGGACTCGATTCAAATTGGCACAGGGGCTAGAAATTTGATCCTGTGCCGGACAAGAGGTGCTTTGATCGGCTCCCTGGGTAGTTTTACAGTACTGGCCTACTGCTTAATGAGATCGCGGCTGCTTGAGTCTTACTTCGGCGTTCCATATCATGTTGTGATCCAGTTTCTCGTGTCTCCGCCTATAACATCAACTGGCATTCTAAGCGTCGCCCTAGGATCTTCTCGATTCTATCTTCCCCCTTTAATTATGGTGGGGGCTTTGGAGTAGCTGCACTCGTTCTGGAAGAACTTTCTTCTGGCGAGAGTGGAAAGTCTCCGGTTGCAACACCGCGTATGATTCAAGTCGTGGCAAGCAGGCACCCGGTCGGAAAGATAATCAGCCAAAAACTGGGGTCAATCGGTGTAATTCTGAGCCCTGCAGAAGCTCCCATTTCCAATAGCTGTGCACGGCTCAAAGTGGATAGGGGGGCGGTTAATTGTCTCCGTGAATGGGCGAAAATCATCCCGACGCCGAACCCCGAGAGACTGACTGCACGCGATTCAATAACTCATGTCTGTGCCGTCAGGACCGCGATCTGGCAGCAAAATGATATTTAAGAACCTGATGCGAGCGATGAAAACTGATTCTTACAAGTCTCATCCCCGTTCAGATTTCGGCTCATCTTTCATCGTTCTACCCGCACTGCTCGATTGTCATCCCACGCTACCAAGCAAAGTGCACCGGATTTTATCACCTATCATGCACCAGCAAGTTATCACTGTTTTCGGGGCTACTGGCCTCCAGGGGGGAAGTGTTGTCAAAACTTTCCTTGAGGACCGCAAGCTGAAAGGGTGGCTCATTCGTGGTGTCACTCGCAATGCGTTTTCCGAAAAGGCCAGGGACCTCGCGGCCAAAGGCGTCGAGGTCGTTGAGGTAACACCTCAATAGTGCATGTTGGCATTTCATCAACTGACTTACATTAAGGCCGATCTGAACGACCGGGTTTCTGTTCTCAAAGCCGTACAAGGGTCGACGGCCGTTTATGGGGTCACAAATTATTGGGAGAGCCTGGACAAGGATCTCGAGGTTCAGCAAGGCAAGAATATTGCTGATGCAGCAAAGGTACCTTTCCACCTCTCGAAACGCTTGCGTTTGCCCTTGAATAACCTTGGCTGATCACCATGCTTCAGGAAGCTAAAGTTCAGCACTACATATGGAGCTCATTGCCCAACATCACCAAGCGTAAGCACATTGCCATAGGACTTTCGCACGGGGATACTCACATGGCTTTGCAGTATCGGGTGGTGTCCTGTCTTGTGTTTATCATTTCGACAGCAAAGCAGAGGTTGAGAGCTACGTCCGGTCACTCGACATTCCCGCATCATTCTTCATGCCTGGACTTTACGCATCAAATCTGACGACCAATTTGATGAAAAAGACACCTCTTGAAGACGGCTGGAGATTCTTCCTTCCCGCGCCTTCCACTGCCGAAATCCCCTTCTTCGACGTCAACGATACAGGCAAATTCGTTAAAGGTATTGTCTTGAACCGAGAGCAGGTTCTTGGCAAGCAAATCCTTGGTGCCTCAAATTATATGACGCCGGCTGAGGCCATCGAAACATTCAAAAGCCTGTTCCCCAAAGCAGGCAAGAATATCGCATTTTTTGAGATGACCCATGATGCCTATAGGGGAGTTTTAACAAGTCAAGGCCTCCCAGCCTTTGCAGCAGAGGAGTTGTTGCAGAATCTGCGACTCCTGGCTGAGTTTGGCTATTACGGCAGGGCAAGCTTAGACGAGTCGCACGCTATCCTGGATGATGAGCTGATGACCTGGAGACAATTCGCGAGGTGTGCAAAAGAGTTTGAGGGTCTGGAGTAAAGCCACTGCTTGACCAAGAGGGATCAAGGTTTCTGCAGGGTCCAGAGTTATATAATCAGGTTCTATGAGAGGGTTCATAGCCTTTTCAACTGCTGATCAGAAGACATTGCCCATAGTCTGCTTAATTGTTCCAACGTTGATGTTGCGGATGAGAAGCACCCAGATGAATGACAGTGCCATGATACCAGTGCCCGTGGCAAGCATCTTGGTTTGTGCGTATCCATACGCCTGCTGAATACCGAATCGCTCCGGGGAGCCAACTTCGTAGCTGAGCTGCATCTCGAGACTCTCGTAGATCTCGGTCAGATCCGGCAAAGCCGTGGCCGGGAGATATCGCTCGAGGGCCTCGGCAAAAGTGTTGGTCCAGATAGCGCCAGAGATAGAGTTGCCAACAGCACCGCCAATGTTACCAACAACGCTGAGGAGTGCCAAAGCTGCAGCGACGTGCTGGTGGTCGACAGCGGCGAGAATTGACAGCTGTTGAACGATGATGAAGATACTTCCACCCACTGAGATGAATATCTGGCACATGAAAATGTATCCAATGTAACCGTTGGGTTGCCGGAAATGAATCATTAGCCCCTGTGCAAAGACGTAGAGTGGAATGGCAAAGTAAAGAAGCCACTTGAAGTAGCCCGTCTTTCTGATGGAGAAACCAACGATCAAAAGAAGGATGCCGGACACGACATCAAAGGTGCTTGCAACATACCCCGCCTCTGAAACACTGAGGTTATTCACAACCTGAAGGAACGAGGTGAAGTAGCTGTTCTAGCAGTAGTAGGAGACTTGGTATGTCGCGCAGAGGGCAAGAGCTCCAATGATTGTTCTGTTAGTCATGAGGTGGACGTTGAGGAACGGTGTCGGAGCCAGGAATGTTTCGTAGAGCGCAAAGATTCCAAGGACGACAAATCCCACGACAATCATGGCAATGATATAACCTGACGACCAACCGTTAGGCGCTGAGTCGGCGAGTGTGAAGGGCAGTAAGAATGTGGTGAGGCCGCCGGCGAATAAGATGACTCCGGGAACTATCCAGGCTAAGTCAGTCAATCTCTTCTGTATCCAATTGAGGTTTTTCTTACCATCGAATTCGGTCACAAACATCCAGATGTTCTGCGCCACTGTTCTTCCACTCTTTTCCCGGAGAATACGTCCTTGCTGCTCAGCTTTTCGAAGGTTGAACTTCAAAATTGTGAACAAAGGAGCCGCCACACAGGGTAGGATAATTGAGAAGCATCCGAATCCCCACCGCCAGTTGACGTTCTCGTAAAATCCCTCTGCAGCCTTCGGGCCGGCGAATGCAGTTATCATGTAGGGAGAAGAAGTGAACGCAAATGCTAGTCCTCGATTCTTCAGACTCGTGGCGTCAGCCGTAATAACATCCACACTATAGATAATGCCTCCGAATCCAATAGAATAGAAAACCTGGAAATCGAACGTCAGCTCCATTCTTCTCTTTATTCTCTTCATGACCCTTACTTGGGCGGCGCAAAAGGTCGAGAAACTGTTGCATGTAGCCATGAGGACCAGTCCCAGCGTGGCGAAGCTCGTCATGACGAGGAAGCCTTCAGCACGACCCCAGACGTCAAGCATTTTGGCGAGCGGTATGTAGACTGCAGCTGTCATTGCGTTGGCCACGATGTTGATGACCGTCAGGAGCGAATGCGACTCGAAGTCACTCGTAACGAACGGCATCAGGTTATACAGAATTGAAGACTGAAAAGCGTTGACCAGATACAGACACCATATACTTTTACACAAAGACCATGTCAGCAATCCATTGAGCTCTGGCATCTGGGCTATAGTGCATACTTGATGAAAACGGCTACCAGCGACCGCTTCGACCAGGTGAGTGTGACGGCCTGTACGCTTTGCACACCATGTTGCACATTCTCGCTGGGAAGCACTGGTTTCTCGTCTACCTGTGCACCCGTTTCATTTGCCACGTTTTCAGCACCCAACTTGGCGTCGTCGGGCGTTCCTTCGGCAGCGGCAGGCACGATGACATCGTCGACTTGTTGCCGCCCTAGGCCTAGGCGGATCTTGGGCAGGGTAGGCATAGCTGTGATCGTAGGCGAAGGTTTACTTTGGGAGCGGACTGCAGTTGTCGCATGGCAGAAAGCTGCTGTGGCAGAGCTTAAATCAAATCTCTGTTTCTCTCTGCTCGGGTCTCCCCCAATTTCCTGCTAGGGGGTGCTGCACATTTCTTCGGCTGACGACCCATGGGTGCAATACCCGATCAGATTAGATTTTCACGACTAGCAGACGTCCCCATCAGGTGTTCTTCGGATAACACGGCATTTTTAAGTAATAGACATATGAATAGCATGCCACAACCTGCACTTGGGCACGCGAAGGATCGATGGCGTCCACCCGTGGCCCCATCAGCCGGCACATCTGATAAGATCTCCGTTTGTCCGCTATTCCCAGCTCCCACGAGCCTGATTGACCGGAAACAACGACCTAGCATTTGGGCTACCCGGCTATCAGGCACGTAGCTTCAATTGCAGCAGTCAGGGCTGCATGGGCCATGCGGAACAAGTGTGAAGAGGCTTGCGCATTGAAGGGTCTAGACTCCACCTACCCGCTCCTGACCCATCCTGTATGCTGGCCGAATTCTAGCGTTCAAGGACAATGCTGGCGATGACCCTGGCAATTCGCAAAATCATTCAGGTCTGCTGGTGCTAACTAAGGGTTCCCACACTCTCGGGACCGAAGAAGCACCGCTTCGAACGCTGGGCCTCGGGATGTTGTCGTGAGTATTTCCTGACTTCGCCGTATCAAATTTGGATGAGTAGTAAAACTTATGCAGGGCTCAGCGACCAGATCTTTTTCCAACCTATATACTTCAAAAATTGTGCGTCGGGTACATGAAACCACCGAATGCCACTTGACGCCGATTAGCATGGAAACAACCATGCCTGCCCGGACTTTGGTTGCCACATAACCCATGAGCTACGGCGTGCAAATCGCGCGCAGTAGCTAGCTGCTTAGCCAGAGCAAGGACGAACTTTCTCAGGGGAGCAGCCACCTGCACAGCCATCATAGATCCAGCACGCCTCTTTCGCATCTGTGCAGACATTCCTCAATGTGGCAGTGTCACCAAATGCCTCGTTGATGCCAACAATCTCGCCACCATTGTACGCTGTCACACCTTCGACGTACACATTGCGTTTGCACTGACTGCTACAGTTGCCGCATGAGCGATAGACCTTCCCATAGTCCTCGGCGTAGAAGTTGATAATCTGTGAGCCGAGTCAGCATCGTACCACCATAATGTCTTTGGGGTGAAACCTGCGTTGACAGTCCCGCAACCATTATGCTGTACAATCTTATCCTGGGCCTTGAAGGCACCGCCGCCAATGATCCAGGTCTCGTCGCCAGGTCTGTCATTCTTCTGCACGGTATGTCAGTCAATGGACCATGAATCTCCTGTCTGGTCGCACTTACTACCGAGATACCATCTTCGCAAACATCTTCAAACCAGACAAACTCAAGAGTGCAAGGGCCATCGCAGTGGACGCCCTCAGCTTGGTCCTTGCCTATGATGACGTTCTTCAAAGTAGCGCCACGGCGAAGGTAGAAGACGGCATCACGCCAGTCTCCCTCATTCTGTTCATTGCAGGCACCAGATCCCCGATCATATTTAGCCCACTTCCCGTCATAGACCTCACCAGCTGGGACCTCGATGACCTGCGAATTGGAGTAGTGGTCGGTGTGGGAGGGGAGGCCTCCTTCGTAGCCGTTACAGGCAGAGACGCTTGGAACAGCTGCAAGTGAAGAGAGCAGGCTTAAATAAACAGATGAAACCTTCATCGTAAGAGATTTTCAAGGAGATCAAAGTTCAAAAATGAGAGAGCTTGAGGAAGCTGGCGTTGTGGTGTGGTATTGAAGAGCAAGATTTGGGAGAAGCAGCTACAGATATAGACATCAAGTAAATACTAAGACACATGACAGACCCTGCGGCTTTCCTCACCTTTCCAAACAAAAATCAAATCTGTGGATTAGACCCTAGGAGTATCAATGGTGGAGAAAGCCAAGTTCATGCTTGCCCTTGGCGGGCAAGGAGATCAGCGTTTTTCTGTTGAAATAGTCTATCAAGCACCGGAAACCGAGGTGCTTGGGTTTTGCTTATATTGATTACCACCCTCCTTCGCGGGAGTAGTGCGCACAATGTCCGCCAAGTATGAGGTTCCAAGATCCTTTGCCTCAGGCCCGCCAATGATTTCACTTGTAACTTCCGTCCTGGAGGCTGACGTACTTGGCAAGTTGGCAATGCCAATGTCAACGTTGTTGTGGAACCAGGATCCCGGTCGTGTTGGCAGCTGTTGGACAAATATCAGACGTCGGACGGGGGGCAAGATATGCCGTCTGGGGTACTTGCCAAGGGGCCAAGGGCCGGCCGAGTGCCGGCCAAGCAACATTAACCCACGTGTAACTGATGAAAGCAGTAAAAAGGCCGTGTGACTTAGTGGCCCACGGAAGTAATATTCCGATTATCTGCATTCTGTATTCAAGAGCAAACCATCACTTGAACAGTGTCTTAATGACGATTCATGCCGTTGTACAGAATTATATATGATATGTGACCGTTGTTGCCATTGAACACGAAAAAATAACTAGAAAAGCGTTTGAGTCTTCAAGTGCTTCCATGTCTCTTTGCTTTCATTGGCAGAAGAGCGTTCACTAGATTGCAAGCGATGCTTAGCTACCGCTAGCAAGAGTCTCAACCAGCTTGATGAATCACCATGGGAACCGAAGCATGATAGCTTAGTATTAAGAAAGCGTTCAATGTTTGTGTCCTCTGTCTACATTGCTCTCTGGTGGTGACCCGTAGTCGGAAACGTAGGAGCGCGGTCGGATCCAGGGGTACGACTTGGTCAAGACGACGGCCCCACTCCGCCAATACTGGACGCCGGAGCAGGCAGGCCATGTGCAAAGAACTTCCAAAAGTTGCGATCATGTGTGACTGAATTACAACGTACTCTAGAATTTAAAACCGCAGCAGATTCGCTCTGAAAACTTCTATCAACGCTCTCATCTATAGTGATCCCCTCAATCATGTATCGTCAGTCGTAAAGCTTCAAACGTCAAAAAAACAGCAGAGAACAGAAATCATGGTCATACACCGCCCTTAGCCGGAACAGTACTGGCTCTTGCTCCTCAGCCAAGCGCCGTACTTCCACATAATGGTTGGCACCACAATTCCCAACAAGGCTGCAACACCGGCAAGAACACCGTTACCAGCCGCAACACCGAGAGCGTCGTACAGCTTGGGTGCGAAGAGAGGGAAGCTGAAGCCCGCCATCGTTCGCACAAAGGCTGCAGCTCCTGTTGCGCTTGCTGCATATCGTTCGTAGGTGTCAATGGTGTATGTTTGCACGCACTGGAAAGAGAGAATCAGACCAGCGGCGAAGATGGCGGCACCGATGTTGGGAACGATGAAATGCGTGCGGTTGTGGGCGGCGACGCCATAGATCACCAAGCCGATGGGAACGATGATGGCTGTCGGGTACATAAGCGGGACGCGAAATTCGGGCCGGCCGGGGTGGTTGTAGCGGACTTTGAGGGTTCGGTAAACCTGGAATCGTTAGTGCCTATCCGATGGTGAAGCCAGTAGTTTCAGCACTTACTTTATCGATCATAGGGCCGGAAACCTGGAGGCCAATGACGAAGCCGACGCCGAGAGAGATGTAGTTCAGACTCGCAGGTCCAGCCTTTTGGCCGTATTGCTCCATCCAGACCATTGGGAACGAAGCCAGGACAAGATACATCAGACCATAGAGATAGGCTCGGTAGAGAGCAGTAACCTGTAGTGCGGGCTGAGTGAACAGCATGATGAACGGTCGGACAAGATTCTTCCTCAGGGTCTGAGCAAATGTCTGGTCTGGGTTCTCGTACTCAGTACGCAGATCCTTGTTGCCAGTCTCCTTTCGGAGCTTCTTGGCCTTGACGTAAAGGATCTTAGGGGTGTATGTCTCGGATAGGATGAAGAAGCAAAGGATTTGCACTAGGGCGTCGGCAATGGAAACAGTCCAAAAGATCCAACGCCAGTTGAGGTATTGAGTGAGATAGCCGGCAGCTGTAGACCTTGACATCAGAATAGCCCATTCAAGTGTGTCGTGAGGAGTGACTTACCGATCGGGCCAACCGCAGGGCCGAGGAAGGGGGCCAGACTGTAGATGGCAGTGGCCATACCACGCTCCTCTTTGTGCCAGCAGTCACTGAGGACACCACCACCAAGCTAGGTCCGTTAGATGCGTCATTTGATGGCAACGGGTGGAACTTACAGCCTGGGGGGCGCTACCACCTAAACCGCTGAGAAATCGAAAAGCTAGCATCTGCTCCTTGCTTGTCGAGAAACCGCAAACTGTGTTGAACAGGAGAAAGACCATATTCGCAGACTGAAGCACGACGACACGGCCATACATCTCCGAGAGTGGACCGAGGATGAAAGGACCGACGGCGTACGCAAGCAGGAAGATAGACATGAGGAGGTATGTCTCAATGTCGGACTTGATCTTGAACTCTTCGGCAAGTGTAGGGAGCGCAGGGGCCAGCATCGTGGACGAAACCGGAGAGATGAAGGTAAAGCAGGATACTAGGATGGTCGATGTCCATCGTCGATATTTCGGCCAGTTCTTCGGGTTTGCCGGATCTTTGGGACCATCCCAGGTAACCTACAAGGGCTGTCAGCACAGAATGCAAGTGACGGTTAGGAGGCGGGTGAGCTTACAATATTGGGATCATTCAAGAGCTCCTCTTTGGCCTCTTCCTTTGGGCCCTCTTCAACATGTGCAGGGTCAAGCTCTTCTTCAGGCACACACTGAATAAGTCGTCGACCATTAGTAGAACAGTCTGTCTTTGGGACTGCCGCATAACCACGTTCCATTTCCTCGTCGTCGCTTGAGTCTTGCTCAAGCCAGGGAAACTTGTGGATGGATCTTTCATAATCGTTGACAGACGGAAGACCTGGAGTCCATGGCCGCCAGAGGGTCGAGCGAGAACTGTGGAGACCACGATGCATTGCGACCTCTGGGCTAGGAATGGGCTTTCGAGGGATGTTCTGAGACATGATGTGGGCAAGCAAATGAAACGTAGAACGAAAGTGGTGCTTAAGCGAGAGGATGATGGTGGAACGATTGAAAAAGTGAAGTGATATGGTTGGACAAAGTTGCATCACGGACCGCCGGCCTTTGCGTCTTATACACTCAAAGAACTTAAACTATGTCGCGTGTCTTGCTTCTGTCCCCTTCTCCCACAATGTGCCACATGGTAGCTTCGCCTCAAAAAGTCGAGCGGCCAACACACCGTCGCCTCTCGACTTCGCGTGAGCGTTTGCGACGAAAGGGCAGAAGTTCTGGGCCAAGCCACCGCAGCACCCAAGCCCGTGATCGGCAAAGGGGGGGCTCATACCGGAACTAATGACCGCAGTGCTCGGGAAGCAGGCCGGAGTATCCAAAGATAACTCCCTACAAAAAGTGGCGCACGTGCTTGTGTGAGCGGGCCCTCCTCGAGCAAAATGATCGGCGGTTGTATTTGCCTGGTCGTGGGGTTAGGGTCATAAGATGGAAGCTCGCTCGAAGCTTTCTTGGCAGCTGGAATCGACTGAGAATCGGAACCCTTGGCTCACAGGAGCCCCACTACGTCAGTGTAAGTGGCTGTGCGTGCGGTGCCAGCGAGCACTTCGGGCTGTGTCGTCAAAAGATTGCCCCTGGCCAAAAGCTTCGAGAGTCTCTGTTTCAGTGGTGGCCTTGAGTTCCGTTGGGCCGTGTCATTGGAAGCTGTGTGCCTCAGAGGCTGGCTTGGCACTTGGTTTCAGCCCCGACCATACGAGAAGAGGATAAGCTCGCCGGAGCGGTTGTCGATGCCGAGACTTCCAGAGCCAGGGTTTTCGCCGGAAAGGGTCCAATGATTAGGATGACTTGCTTTGCTGCTCGCGTGCCATGCCATCATGGCCATGGTGCTCGTCATGGAGAGACCCCGCCTGGCAGGGCTATGCGGTGACTCGTGAAGCCCTGACATCAAGCGCATACCAGGCACGATCGACAAGTCTATCCATGATCAAGCTCTGCCCAGAAGGCCGGACTGGTGCTTGTCCCCGCATCATGCTTGGGAAATGAGTGCATCTCAAAATAATTCTATCACACGAGCAACTTCCCGGTTGCGTCTTTCTCGCCGTGTGGTAACCCGACAGCGCCTCCTCTAGCTTCTGCGCGTGAATGGCTTCAAGCCGATTGCCGACACACACCGGGCAGTGTAGTGGCTTGAGGTGTCTAAGAAAAGATCTTCGCCATGAGATGAACGGTTTCTGAAGCTTGGCCAAGTCAGACTTTGGCAAGTGTCGTGATGATGCGTTGGCGGTGATGGGCTCAAGTCTTGATACCATATAAGACGAGGACTTCTGGCTCGAATATGGAGCACAAGGAGATCATTATCATCACCATCACAGTCAAAACATTCGCTTTCTCACTAGTATTCAAAGTACCCCTCACAATCGCTACATCATCCTCATACTTACATCATATACCTACTCACCTCACCAACCTTCGTTTGAACAAACACCTTCGTTCAAACATTACACAGCATACATTGACTTACCAACGCAACCCACAACCCGCAACATATCATCCCCAATGAAGCTCAAGATGACTACTCCTGCCGCTCCCTCCGGCATGAAGGTTCTCGTCTGCCCCTCTGGCTTCAAAGGCAGCCTGCAGCCCCAGACGGCAGCCGACTGCATCGAAGCCGGTATCCTCGCAGTGCTCCCTGACGCTTCTGTCCGCAAGGTCCCCCTTGTCGACGGCGGCGAAGGTTTCACTGGTGCGCTGGTGACCGCTACCGCTGGCAAGCTCCACCACGTCACAGTCACTGGACCGGTGAGCGCGCCGGTCGAGTCCTTCTTCGGCATCCTGGGCAACGGCAGCAACACCTCGGCCCCTCGCACGGCAGTCATCGAGATGGCGGCTGCCGCGGGCCTGAGCCTGGTGCCCAGCCACCTACGCAACCCAGCGCGCACGACGACCTACGGTGTCGGCGAGCTGCTCCTCGCCTGCCTCGATGCTGGCGCCAAGCGCATCGTCATAGGCTGCGGTGACTCTGGCACCTGTGACGGCGGCGCGGGCATGCTCCAGGCCCTGGGCGCCCGCCTGCTCGACCAGGACGGCAGGCCGCTGCCGACGGCGGGCGGCGGCGACTCGCTGCTGCGTCTCGCCAACATTGACCTCAGCAACGTCGACAAGAGGATCCACGAGACGTCGATCGAGGTGGCCGTCAACTGGAGCAACGTGCTGTGCGGCCCTGGCGGCGTGGCGAGGGTCTTTGGCGCGCAAAAGGGCGCGTCCGAGGAGCAGACGGAGCGGCTGTCGGCTGCGATGGAGGTGCTCAGCGTCGTGACCGGCCGTCTGCTCTGCGACAACAAGGTGGGCAAGGCGCCCGGTGGCGGGGCCTCTGGTGGCCTGGGCACCGGTCTTCGGTTGATTGGCGCCAGGCTCCGGCCAAGATATGAGGTGGTGGCGGAGTATGTCGACTTTGAGACGCTCTTTGACGACTGCGACCTTGTGCTCACGGCCGAGGGAGGCATTGACGACCAGACACCCCGCGGCAAGATCCCTGCCGAGATTGGCATGCGGGCAAAGAAGTATGGCCTGCCCGTCGTCGCCATTGCTGGCACGATTGGGCCTGGCGCGCGGGTCAACTACGATGTTGGCATTGATGCGTACACGTGCATCTTGCAGAAGCCGACGACGCTGGCGGAAGCCGTGCTCGAGGCAGAGAAGCTGACGCAGGAGAGTGCCGAGGGCGTCATGAGGATGATCGTCGTCGGACGCATGCTGGCTTCAAGGAAGCTGTACCAGATGGCCGAGCCGAAAGAGGTCTGGGTCTGAGGTGACGCTGGCAAGCAAAGGGGCGGCCACATGCCAAGGGGGGACAGCACAAGCACAGCGGGACAGCACATCAGTCCAACAGGGGTTGCTTGGTTCCGCTGCTAGCCTGTAGTAGACCAGGAGCGAGAGCGTGCTTGTACATACAAGAGACCGGAAACATGTTTAGTTAGCAAGAGCCACGAGTGTGAATGAGAACATGATTTGACGAAAGCATGAACCCAATTATGAACGATCATGCCACCGGTGGGGTGAAGTGGCCGGATAAAAAAGAAAGAAACGGCAAGGATCAACGCTGGCGCGAGCAATTCAGAGCGGGTGTCGGTTGGATAAGCTTAAAAAGCCAAGACGCTTGGAAAAACCAGTGGGTGGCTATGCTGGTGGTTTTGGTGACCAGGTTTTTTTGGTGTTGTGAGGTTGGGCCAAGGGAGAAGTCGAGCATGTGGGGGCTTTCTAGGGGGTCTTTTCTGAATGGGGGGTGAAGTGAGGTCAGCAGAATCAGCGGTATTGATTGGCTGTTGATGGTTTCCCAAAGATGATGAAAAGCAGGCTCATCATTGGCGCGATAACTGCATCTTATCAGTCCCCATCAGGACTAGCCAGGCACAGCCCCGCCCCCGCACGAGTGCCTTCCCACAGTGTCGAACGGCCAAGTCCACGACTTCACCGCGTGGAAGGGAGCAGTGTCTCTCCTTCAACCACCAAACAGATTGCTGCCCATCACCGCGACCCTTGAGGCACAGCACAGCCCCTGAGCTGAATAAGATACCCCTTCTTCTTTTCTTTGCTGGGTTGCAGTCTCCCTGCCCTCTTATTTCCGATTCCCCACCCACATCTCCACCTCCGCTTCTCTCCCTTCGACATCTTGGCTTGATTGCCGTCACATCTCCCGTGGTTCGATCCCGCTGCCACCCATCAACGCCCTGTGTGCTATTTTCAGAAACAATCACCGCCACCCGCAGCCCGCGTTACCCTTCTCGTACCGCGTTCCCGAGCGCACGCTGCGTTCCTGAGCCGCAGTCCACGCCTGACATCAACCTCGTCGACCAGTGCTCGTACTGGCAATTACGGCAACACCCTTCGCGCGCCGAGATGCCCAAGAACGCCCCCGCAGAAGACAGGCCAACCGTCACATTCAGCTCCGGCCGCACCCAGCAGGACGGCTTTGCCTTCTCCTCACAGCCCGACTCCCCGCCCGACCTGCGGCTTCTACACTACAACGATGTGTACCACCTCGACCCCTCGAGTGCTGAGCCCAAGGGTGGCATAGCCCGTTTCATCACCGCCGTCAACCAGTATCGGAGCAAGGACCGATTCCGCGGCGAGCCCGAGTTGATCACTCTCTTCTCGGGCGATGCTTTTAACCCAAGCCTCGAGAGTTCCGTCACCAAGGGTGAGCACATGGTGCCCGTTCTCAACTCCATCGGTACCGACTGTGCCTGTGTCGGGGTGAGCGCATGACCTCGTATTCAATAAGCTCTCACGCGCTGACACATGACAGAACCATGATCTCGACTTTGGCGTCAAGCAGTTTGAGCACCTCGCCCGCAAGTGCAACTTCCCCTGGCTCCTCGCCAACGTGCTCGACCCGGCCCTCGGCGACGACGTGCCCCTCGGTAATGCCAAGCGCACCCACTTGCTGACCGCCTCCAACGGGCTCAAAGTTGGTCTCATCGGCCTGGGTGAGCGCGAGTGGCTCGAGACCATCAACTCTCTGCCGCCGAATCTCATCTACAAGTCCGCCACCGAGACGGCCAAGCAGCTCGTCCCCGGCCTACGTGAAGCCGGCGCCGACATTGTCATCTGCGTCAGCCATCAGCGCGAGCCCAACGATGACAAGCTCGCTCGCCAGACGGATGGTCTCTTCGACCTCATCCTCGGCGGCCATGACCACTTTTACGCCCACAGCTTCATCAACGACACACATGTCCTCCGCAGCGGCACCGACTTTAAGCAGCTCAGCTACATTGAGGCACGCCGCAGCGCGACGCGCCCCGGCCGCTGGGACATTGACATTCTCCGCCGCGACATTGTCTCGTCCATTCCCGAGAACGCCGAGGCCCTACGCATGACGTCGGCGCTAACCGACAAGCTCAAGCACCAGCTGTGCAAGCCTGTCGGCTGGACAGCGGCGCCGCTCGACGCCCGCTTCAGCACCGTCCGTATGAAGGAGAGCAACATGGGCAACTTTGTCTGCGACATTATGCGCAACTACCACAACGCCGACGCCGCCCTTATGGCCGCCGGCACCATTCGCGGCGACCAGATCTACCCGCCAGGCGTGCTGCGCGTGCGCGACATTACAAACTGTTTCCCCTTTGAGGACCCCGTTGTCGTCATTCGTGTCACCGGCACGCAGCTGAGGGAGGCCCTCGAGAACTCAGTCTCCATGTACCCGGCGCAGGAGGGACGGTTCCCGCAGGTGTCGAACCTCGAATTCGAGTTTGACCCCAGCAAGGCGTCCGGCGCGCGCGTCAACTGGGTGAAGCTCGGCGGCGCGCCGCTCGAGGAGGAAAAGAAATATGTGCTCGCGACGAGGGGCTACATGGCGCGCGGCAAGGACGGGTACGACTCGCTGCTCGTGGAACCCGAGGGCGGCACGGCCGAGGAGTTGATCAGCGAGGAGAACGGCATCCTCATCTCGGCCATGCTGCGGCAGTATTTCATGGGACTGCGGACCGTCGGGCAGTGGAAGAACCTCAGCGAGCACTGGGTCAAGGTCGCAAGCGAGTGCACGACGCCCATCGAGACGAGGAAGAACCCCTGGGGGGCCACCGCGCCGGGCAGCAAGCCCGAGCAAGACGCTGCGCAGCCAAAGACGGGCGCGGACAGCAAGTCGTGGAGCCAGTGGATGCGGAAGCGGCTCGGCCTCGACGCCCGGCCCGCCGAGTTGGACGAGGAAGAGGATGACGGTGATGAAAAGGGCGGCAAGGGCATCCTGCAGGACGCCGACGAGCTGGCGAGCGTCGACCTTGAGCTGCTGTTGATGCGAAAGTTCTTTGGCCGGTGGGCCAAGAAGATTGGCGTTTTTGGAAAAGCTGTCGATCCCCTGGTCGAGGGCGACTTCTCGGTCGACTGGACGCGGGTCATCGCTCCTGTGTTGGAAGGGAGGATCAAGATGGTGGGCGCACAGACAGGATACTGAAGATGCCGAAGAGGGGAAAAAGGAATCACCTGGGATAGATGTCGTCACGGCCAAAAAAAAAAAAAGATGATGAGAATATGAACCATACAATTTCGTACATTCAAACAGAGATGCTCGCTACGTAAAATCTATATCGCCCATCTGTCTGATCTACCCACCACTTCTACGCCTCGTACGACTTGTCGCTGATCTGCACACTCGACGACAGCACCAGCTCGCCGGCGCTCTTGCCGACGCTGATCTTGTACTCGCCGCCCTTGATCACCCACTTTTGCGCCTCCTCGCTCCACGAGGCAAAGTCCCGGACCTGCACCGGCAGCTCGACCGTCGCGCTCTCGCCCGGCTTGAGCGTCACCTTTTTGAAGCTGACGAGCGCCTTGATGGGCGTGTCGTCCGACGGCGTCGCGGCGCCGGCGTAGATCTGCACGGCCGTCGCGCCCTCGACGGCGCCCGTGTTGGACACCTTGACGCTGACGCTGTACGCGTCGGCAGACGTCTCCCTGACGGCGAGGTCGGCGAGGTCAAACGTGGTGTATGACAGGCCGAAGCCGAAGGGGAAATGGACCTTGTCGGCGGGCAGGCGGTCAAAGTGGCGGTAGCCCACAAAGACGCCCTCCTCGTACTTGACCTTGAGCTTGCCGTCGACGTACTTGCCCGGGAAGTTGCCGTAGGCGGGACAGTCCTCGAGGCGCTTGGGGAACGTGCACGTGAGGTGGCCCTCGGGGGTGCGGGCGCCGGTGAGGACGTCGGCGATGGCGTTGCCGGCCTCCTGGCCGGGGAACCAGGCCTGGAGGAGGCCCTTGATCTCGGACAGCCACGGCAGCGCGACGGCGACACCAGTCGAGTTGACGACAATGGTATTGGGGTTGGCCTTGGCGACGCCGGCAACGAGGCGGTCCTGACTGCCGTCCTTGGGGAGGTGGAAGCCGGCCTGGTCCTGACCCTCAGTCTCCCAGGTAGGATCGTGACCGGTAAAGACAATGGCGTAGTCGGCGGCCTTGGCGGCGTCGACGGCCTCGCTGAGAATGTCCCGGTCGTGCTCGGTGGCGGACATGGCGCCGAAACGGACACCGGCGCGGCCCTCGAGAATGCCGAGATCAGTGCCGGGCACAGGCGCAGGGGGCGAGCTGCGAACCTGGAGCTTGTACGTCTTGCCAGCCTCGAAGGAGAACTTCATGGTCGGCACGGGCACGCCGCCAAAAAGGAAGCCCATCGAGTCGGAGCAGTTGTCCTTCTGCTCAAAGACAACCTTGTCGTCGATGGAGACGTAAGAGGGGCCAAGGCCGGTGAGGGTATAGTAGTAGGTGGCCGTCTCGGGGGGAGTGAAGGTACCGACGAGCTCGATCTCCTTGTTCTCGAGGTCAAAGGCATCGAGGATACCGACCTCAGACGTCTTGTGGCCTTGGGTAGCCTTGATGGGCTCCGACTTGCCGGGCTCGTAAATGCTGTAGGTGAAACCAGGGGTTGTGCCGTCGGCGCTGACGACGTTTTCCGCCAGCAGAGGCAGCTGGCGGAAGGTGTGGGCGCCCTTGCTGTATGTGATCTCCACGTCGTCTCCGAAAGCCTCCTTCAGGGCGTCGTAGGGGGTGATCTTGTAATGAGCGTTGACCGAAGCACTGCCGCCGCCGTGGGCGAGACCCTCCTTAGCATAGCCCAGGAGAGCAATCTTCTTTCCCTTGACCTTCTCCTTCGTCAGAGGCAGAACGCTGCCCTCGTTCTTCAGGAGGACGATGCCCTTGCCGCCAGCCTCGCGAATGAGAGCCTGGTGCTCGGGCTTGTTGACGGCCGTCTCGTCGGGGATGGTAGGGTCCTCAAAGACCTTCTGGCGTTCGAGGAAGCGCAGAACGTGAAGGGCGCGGTCATTGATCGTCTCCTCCGTCAGCTTGCCTGCCTTGACAGCGGCCAGAACGTCCTCCACCTTGCGCCAGCGCGTGGGTCCGGGCATCTCGAGGTCGAGACCAGCGTTCAGGGAGTCGGCAGTCGAGTTGACACCGCCCCAGTCGCTCATGACGAGGCCGTCCCACTTCCAGTCGCCGCGAAGAACACGCTTCAGGAGGAACGGGTGAGAATCGGCGTGGTGGCCGTTGACCTGGTTGTAAGCAGTCATGACGGCGCCGGGGTTGGCCTCCTTGATGGCAATCTCAAAGGGCTTGAGGTAGATCTCGCGCAGGGCACGCTCACTGATCTCCTCATCGACGCTCAGACGCTGGGTCTCCTGCTCGTTGGCGGCAAAGTGCTTGATGGTAGCCGAGACGCCCGTCGACTGGACACCCTCGACGTTCCGCGCGGCCAGCTTGCCGGACAGGAAGGGGTCCTCGGAGAAGCTCTCAAAGTTGCGGCCACCGAGGGGGTGACGCTGAATGCACATGGTAGGCGCCAGAAGGCACCGGGCGCCCTTGGTCTGGGTCTCCTCGCCTAGGGCCACGCCGATACGGCGGGCAATGTCGACATCGAAGGTGGACGCGACGTTGCAGGCGGCGGGGAAGCACGCAGACGTGATGCCTCCGGCAAAGGTGGCACCTCGCGCGCCGTTGGGTCCATCAGACGTCTATGAGGGTTAGCCTCTTCCAACTCGAGATACACATGAGCCTGCAAAAGCAACCTCACGGGCTAGAGCTTACCTTGAGAGCGTGGACTCCCTTGTCTGCGATGGAGACAGTCTCCCAGAAGTTGGCTCCGGCTGTCAGGGAGATCTACGTCTGTCAGCGGACATCAGTCAAGGGCGCTTTCGGTACGATTACCTTCTCCTCCAGCGTCAGAGTGGACAGGATGGCCTTCACGTCGGTGGTAGACATGATGGAGGACTAGTGTGGATGGGGGAATTGTGGGATGAGAGAGTAGAGGCAAAGGGCAGCCTAACGACGAGGACGAGACACGTCCTTTTGTACCTTGACGAGGCGCCATGGCGAGATTTCGATTCATGTCTGACCTGGAGACCAAAGTGGATCAACCTCTAAACTCCCCGGAGACTCGGATCGGGACAGCGAACCGACGTCTTGCTGGGTGTCTTCCATGCGTCGATGGCGGCATGAGGGGTCCCGAAACGACGTAACTTGGCTGTTGGATCCTTGATCGAGGGGTACCGAGTGGAGCCAGTTCATCGCCTAGCGGCCCGTTAGTGACTCCGAGGTTTCTCCCTATCCGGGGTTCCTGCGCGTCAGGCGCGGTTTAGCCGAGGCCTCTGCCCAAGTCGCCGCCTCGAGACGTTCATTGGTTTGAGCAAGCCGATGTTCACCCATGCTCCCATGATAATTGGGGGGCAGTCCCCGCGGCATCGATCTCAGTCCCCACCCCACAGCCACAGGTCAGTTCTTCACACCACCCCGCATTGACAGCTCGGAGAATCCAACATGGGCTGTCGTGATTCTCCGTCCTCATCGCTGTGCCCGAGAATGCCATCGCTGATTAGCCTTCGCTGATTAGCCTTCGCTGATTAGCCTTCGCTGATTAGAAATTGGACCTATGGAAATTTCAAATGTCCGATCGAGGCCCTTCCTCGAGGAGCCTCACGTCACACCTCCCTCGTGGTATACGCAAACATGGCGTTGGACTCGACCGCCCCTTCGTCCGCCAGCTTCGCCGACGTCTCTGCCCCTGCCACCGGCACCCGGTACTCGAACCGCCGACCCTCTGCCGGTGTGTGACCATCAATAGCATATGGGAACGGCAGGTACTCTGGCAGCAGTCCCAGCTGCCGCAATGCCGTCGCCTGGTCCCACGCAATGTGCTCGTGGTGAAGCCGGTCGCCTCGCACGTTGACGACGCTGGTGAACGGTATCGTCAGCGCCTTGCCCGTTGGGGGCACCCCGGGGAGCCTGTCAAGTGTCAGCCTCGTGCTCCAGGAAACAGGGGAGTCAAGATATGGGTTCGACGCAAAAAACAAAAAGGAAAAAAAAAAAGAAGAAAACGTACAGCCAGTCAATCACCCTATCGTGGGTGCATTGGAAGACAAACTCGTCAATCACCCGGTCGATGCCTACCGTTCGGCTGACGAGCTCGAGCTCCGTGTCCGCCGGGTTGCTGAAGATGAAATGATGGCGGTAGAAGTCTGTGAGACGCTCACGGCCGACGCCTCCAGTCAGCGTCGGGATGTGGTTGACCTGTTGCCGCCCTTCCTATCAGCTTCCCTGGCTTCGTTTTGACGGCCCTTTGCGTCAAACGTGATGAACTCGATGCCGGCTTACGTAGGGTTGTTCGACCATGGTGGCCATGGTCTTTTCGACGCTTCGTTCGCCAAACTCAAATTGCGTGTGCTCCTCCCACACAGCTTCAATGTCAAAGTAGGGGCCCCCGAGAAGGGGCTTGAGGAAGGACAGCGTTCGCGTGTGGGCGAGGGAAGCCGAGGCCGCGTGATAATCAGTGTGAGCGGGAACCCCGAAAAAGGGCCTCGCCGAAGGGTACAGGTAGTGCTTCCCATCGGTTGTCCTGCTCTCCATCTGACCGGCGCCTGAGCCTGCCACATGCGCCAGTGCAGGGCCGTGGCCGTAGTCGACGCGGGCCCCGAAGAACACCACGGCTGCGATGCTCGCGATGGGACCTTCCTTGGCGAGACTTGACAGAACTGGGCTTGAAGCAGCGGCATAGACTGCGAGAGAACATGTCAGCACGCACTGCAGAGCTGTCAACGTTAAGGGTCAACGGAGCTCACTGATGAGACCAAAGCGGCCTTTCTGATCACAGACGTCGAGCCCATCGAGCTCGTCAGCCGCATTTTGAAGAACCTGTTTCAGATCAACAGTCTCTGCGTCTGCTCCGATCGTCACAGCGGCAATAGCAAATCCCTCTTCGGCCCATTTCTGCGCGGGCGGGGGGTCTAGCATGCCGTCCTTCGGAACCCCATGGCCCTCCTCCGTCAGGATGATGAGTCCGGGGCCGTGGCCTCGGCGCGTGAGCGGGCGGTGGATCGCTGTGGCCCAGGCCGCGTCTCGGGCACCGACGGTGGTCGTCATGTTTTGTCAGTCGTCACTGGAGAGCCGCAGCACAACACAGATGCAAAAATGCAAAGGTTGACACGTTTTGGCCGACTGGCTGCTCACCCCCGCATCTCCATGCAGATCGACCACCACCTGCCGCTGCCCCACACTGCCGCTTCGCCCCCCGCCGCCGATGCCGCCTCACTGTTGGTCCGTCTTGTGCCTCCGCACCGGGGGTTTCAGATGCCGTGCGTGGCTGGCTCGTCCCGGTGTTGGGGTTGGTCGCCAGTCTGCATGAGACGCTATTCGTCGCATACTGGCCAGCACTCCCTGTGCAACGAAGACAGAAGAGGTCACCGCGAATCATTGCCACCCGTCCTCTTACCATTGCTACTAAAGCCGGGCGGAAGTCGAGCCTACATCGCTCACAGGCCGGCGATGCGTGCAAGACAGCCTCCTTCGCGATCTGAGCAGACACCGATTGTCGAGGTATACGTGTGTCACGGCATCACAATTTTGGAAGAACATGACAAGCACCCTGACAAGTCACTTCAATGCATTTTGCGGTACCATGTCATGAGTGAGCCAATACAGCAGTAGGTTGAATGGATCATGAAAGTAGGTCGTATTGTGGATATATACCCGTTGAGGGGAGTAAGTCATAAGGGACGATACCGCTGGTCAATGTTACATGTATTATCATTAAATCCTGTGCTTTTGCGTCTACATAGTCCCGGACTACAAGACGATGCCGTGCAATTGATACTTGCAACACTGCGTGCACGAAGCATGTTGTGACGGAGAGCCGTTGAGGGTTCCTGACCACTACGCATGTTGCAGGGCCTTGTCGAGGCACGCAGAGAGCTGAGGCTTGTTAGCAGCGTGCACAGTAGCAGAAAATTGCAAATATGACTTACGACCTCTCCGTTGACGAGACCTTGGTTGCTGAGGTAGCGGCCCAGGCCCGTGATCAGCTCCTTCTGCTCTTCGTGCGTCAGGCCGGTGATGGCCAGCTCCAAGACAGCACCGAGGCTAGCCTCCTTGTTGAGCGACACGAATGTGTGGAAGTAGATGTATGTGAAGAACCCCATGATGAACTGGCAGTCCATGCGATCCGTCATGCCGCCGTGGCCAGGGATTGAATCGCCAAAGTCCTTGATCTTGAAGGTGCGCTTGAGGCCAGATGCGAAGAATCCGCCAAAGGGCGCGATGAGCGAGGCAAAGGTGCCGAGAACGAGGGTATGGAACTGAATAGGGGCAATAGTGAAGGAGATGTCGGTGTTGGGCGGAAGGAAAACCAGGTCGGGGAGCTTGTACGTCTTGGGTAGGAAGGCCGGGTTGGGGGTGCATTCGAGTCCGGTGAAGATATTCGAGGCGAGGTCCTGTTGTATATTAGCATTGTCTTGCGCGCTTGGTCAAGTCCAGGTAAACTTACGTGGGCAGGGCAGATGAAGTAGCTGAAGCGCGTCAAGATGTTGGCCAGGATGATACCAAAGACAATGGTGAAGACCCAGGCGCCAACGAAGCCCTCGACCGTCTTCTTGGGCGACAGTTTGATCAGCTGGGTACGTCCAAAGGTCATACCAACAATGTAGGCGAAAATGTCGTTGGTGATGACGAGGGCCGCGGGTAGGAAGAACCAGATGAGGCCCTCAAAAACGTTGTTCATGACGAAGTGTGCCTGGACCACGATAAGGTACAGTGCCATGTGCGTCCAGGCGAACTGGGTGAACTGGAACTTGAAGTGGCCCGCGTGCAGGGTAGTGACAAAGAAGACGAATCCGAAGATGTAGAGGAAGAAGCTGATGAAGCGGTGGTGGGTGGCCAGCGGCAGGAGGACCTTATCGACCAGCACAATGTGCTTGAAGTAGTAGATGACAGATTCGCCGTAGAGGAAGTACATGGTGGTGGCGAGCCAGTACCAGTTGAGGCTCTTGGAGGGTCGCAGCTGACGAGCCCGGCTGGGGACGCTCGCGATGGCAATGACCTCCTTGAAGCAGACGACCTGAATGACCGTCATGACGCAAATGATGTACATGTGACCGGAAAAGAGGGCAGCGAAGAAGCCAGCGAACATGACAAAGGTCCAGAAGGTGCGGACCTTGAAGTCAGTCTTTCTTTTCTCGTGAGCGACGCGCTTCTCCTCAGCGGCGGCCTCGGCGGGCGACAATTGTGGTTGCTGTGCACAGGGGTGTTAGAATTAGCAAAAAAAAAAAAAAAAGGTCATCTCAAGGCTAGGGTCCGAAGGCGGCGGATGTGCACGCGTCGATGCCCTGCCCAAGGATTTGTGTCGACGTACCTCCGCGATGCCGTCTAACGGCGCCTGCTGCCCAGATCCCGACCTCTGCTTGATAGGGGAGCCATCCTCGCTGTAGTCGCTAAAGCTGGAGCGACGGCCATCGGCGTTGCCGTTGTTGGCCTTGTGGGGGAACTTGACCCCTCTCTTCCCGCGCGGCATCGTGCGAAATGGGCCGCGAATGGGTGAAGGTTCTTGGTCTGGCAGCGGTCGTCCGACCCAGAATTTTCTCGACAGGCGGTTTAAACAACGCGCGATGAGAAGATGTCGCTGTGGAAGAAGAGGCGGCTCTGGCCCGGTTCGTTTGGGGCAGCTCGTCCAGTGCGTGCGCGCTCGGGTTGGCCGGATCGGGTAGGCGCGTAAAGTCGACGAGACCGATACCTAACAATTCAGGTCCAGTGAAGATGGCGTCGGGCGATGCAGGTGCGGAAAGCGCTGCGAATCGTGGGTGCGACGGACGAGCAAAGCCGTCAGTTGGGTCGCCGTGATGGATGGGGTTGAGGAGGTAAGATTGGCAAGTGAGGTAAAGCAAGGTCGCTGGTTTCGGGGAAAGGAAGCGTCGGAGACTTGGTTCTGCGCTTACCCACTACTCCAAGGGCTGTAGGCTGGGCGCTGACTGCTGGCCCAGTGCTACCTGCTACCAGCTACCAGCTCGGTCCCTTACGTAGGGGGGGGCGCTTGGCATTTCGCGCCTTGCTCTTGGCTCATGCTCCGTGAATCAGCCGTCAGCAATTGGTTTTTTGTGGCAGCCACGCCGGAAAGCCCGTGCCTACCCACTATTTCGCTTGCAGAACACTCACTGCCATGTCTTTGGGCTGCCTCTTGGTTACGTCAGAGCCTGCATCGGCTGATTACTGATGTCTTCCATTAGATAAGCATACCTTCAATACCTAGGTACCCAGGTACCTTACCAGAGCACTCCGCAAGCACACACCGAGTCGCGTTGCAACGCGAGCTGGGATCGCCTGATAAGCGATAAGGCTGTCTCGAGATGGCCTCGTCGGAAAACATCCTGGGCCACTCTTAATTGAGAACCAGGCTGCGTCCCCAATCCTACCTCCCTGATGGCGCCATAGTCGCCAATAATCGTAGCTACTGGCGATGGACAACTACTCGGACGACGGCTTTGACGATCTCAACCCAAATGCCCTTCAGGAGCTGGAGAACAATGCTATACAGTTCACACAGGCGCAAACTCAGGCCCCGCCACGGACACTGCAACCTGCCGACAACCCCTATGATGACCTCGAATTCGAGGACGACGACCTTGATGATACCGAATTGATCGATGGCCTGCTTCCGCAAGCTCCCATCGGTACATCGACGAACACTGGACCGAGGTCATACCATCAAAAACCACCCTTGCCTGTACCGAACCGACCCCCCGCCCCGATCCCGCCATCGTCACGATGGGACACCTCCGCGAGGTCAAGATACGCCGTTCCCAACACGGCGCATGGCCAGCCCTTGGCATCACAGGTACCACTTCCCATAGGCGCATCATACAGACCACAACACAGCCAGTTCGCTCGTCCTGCGCCCCCGACAGTCAGGCCGGCCTATCAGCAGCCGCTCGCTTCCCAGGCGCCCCGGGAGTCAGGAAACGATGTTGTTGCTGCTATGCAGCAGCGCCTGAAGGCTCTCGAGTCAGAACTCTACTCGGCCAGGGGAGAGGTTGCCATCATCAGGGCAAACTCGTCCAAAGCCCAGCAGGAATACACTGCAGAGGTGGCCAGGCTGAAGAGACAAAACGCCGAACAGGGAGGCAAAGCAGCAGAGGCTGGTGGAGCAAGCCGTCGCTGCTCAGCACAATGCCACTACCGAACTGCAGTTTCTTCAGCGAGATGTCAAGGAAACCAGTGCTCGAGCGAGGCGAGCGAATGCGGCGCCCGGCGTGCAGAGGAACGACAGTGGCGGCTCTGCCACGAACACGCCGAAGAAGGCCAGCAAGACCTGGGGCATGGCCGACGGCTTTGACGAGATGGACATTGTTCTCAGCCCCAGCAAGGGACGAGGCAAGTCGAGGGACACCGGCCCCGTGGCCATCCCCCTCACCGAACGGACACCAACAAAGAACAAGCGGAAACGGCCTGTGGTGGACAGTCCCGTCATGGCGTTGGAAACCCACGAAGGCGACCTTGTACAGTCGAATATTGATGCAGGTGCCACGGTCCCGAAATTCTTAGCGGTATCGTCCGTGAATACCCTCCCGTTCGATGTAAGTCGGCCCATCGTCACCAAGGTGCCAGCTGCTAACCCCGGCCCAGTTCCTTCAGCTCGTTCTCGACCATGGGTCTCTGCACGGGGAGCCTCCAACATTCGATATTCTCTCACGCTATGCCTTTCCATCAGGCCCAGACACCTCTTTTGCCGCCCAGATTTATCAGAGCTTGCCGCGAATGGGGAACGCGCATGATCCACTGCAGCTCCTTATCGACTTTTCTCACCTCATTCTGACAATGTGGCACCAGTGCCTGGACGAGGCGTATTATCGACCGATCTGGGACCTGGTGTCGCTTCTGGCGTTTACACTCCAACTCCAGACTGTGTCGGTGGCACCCAACCTCATCCACAGCCTGGTGCCAGCCGCAGAGAGGTCCATGTACATGGTGCTCGAACTGCGCTACAAGAGCACAGACGGTGATCTTTCCGGTGACCCCGCCGCTGACTCGCTGCAACAGCAGATCGACACGACGCACATCTTGTCGCTCCTCCATCTGGCAGCCATGGCAAGCGTGAGCGCAATCGTTCAGACGGAAGAGGGCGCTCAGACGCAGCAGGCCAACTTTTGGAGCATGATGCCCGTGGACTTTGTGCTGATCTTCTTGACCCCGAATCAGCGGCTTGACGACATCCTGGGTATGATGGACCTATTGTGCACCTCCGTGCTATCCGCCTCGGTCGGCCCTCTAGAAATGGGCAAAGGCCCGGAGACGGTCGCCTACATGATCATCGAGAAGCTCACATGCAACCTCCTTGACCTGCCACGGGCGGCATCAACACCCCGTCTGATTCACACGGTCGGATCAGGGGTCCTGCGCACGCTCACCGCGTTCACCCAGTCTCAGTTTGGGGCGCTCCAGGTCGCGAATCATGATAATGCCATACCCAGACTAGTGACGACTCTGAGTGGCTTGGTGGACGAGCTGTACGATGCCAGCGACCCTGTCGTCACTGATTCTCCGGCTGGCAGCGGCGGGAACCGTGCGGCAGCCCATCCACCGGCGGGAGATCTGGGGGCCGACAAGGCGGACGACGCGGACGACGCGGACGACGCGGACGACGCGGACGACGCGGACGACGACCTTGTGGGTCTGCACCGATTGATCAAGCAGATCGTACTGCTCCTGCACCGGCTCGTTGCTGATCCGGCGACAGCAGACGCGGCCAACATTCAATCCAAGCTGGCCATGGCCTACGGAGGCCCGCAGCGGTACATCCTCTCGCTGTCACGCATCCATTTCGCAGAGGAAGACTTGGTGTACGAGGCGGGCATCGACGAGGAGACGGCCGAACTGGCGCGCGAACTATGTGAATTCGTCGTGACCCCTGACGAAGGAGAGGGTGTCAGGGAGGCCTTCGGCGTTTGAGGAGCGCCTTCACACAGCAAACCATGGTGGGCGGTGGCATGGACCTCGTCTCTGAAGGGCTGAAAGCGCCCCCAGCCCGGAAGAGGACTGATGACAGCGATCCGGTGGTCCGTGGGTAGGCACGAGACGGGGTGACGAGCGGCGAAAAAAATGGACGTGGAAGAACGCCTCCGACGCCCAAGTTTCGCGACTTTTCCTCTCTGGGCCGTCCAGCTCCCGCTTCCACACGTGGGCCTATGGCATTTTCAACCTGCCGAGTCGGATGATCGACGCACTCGCGGGCCATCACAGGAGGTCCGTGATCTGCTAAGGTTAACGTCCCCGGCTGAGTTCGTATGTCAGCCCAGGTGTGATTCTTTGACAAAGCTGAATCGCGGTGCCTGGCCAGAAACGGTCCGGCCACAACCACCGATTCAGGGACCAACGAACCAGCCGGCCGGTCATCTCGAGGTACCCGGACCAACGACCATTCGCCCTGAAAGAGAGAGAGCTCGAATAGCAGTCAGGGACGGGACCAGTGCCAATGAGATACCAGCTGGGCGTGTCGCCTTGCCCCCTAACAGGACTAGACGAAGTATTCGCTCGAAACAATCCCCCCCCCCCCCCCCTACGATCCAGTCAGCGCTCTCTCTCTCTATGTCTTTCTCCGCAATCTATCTGCTAGTCGTGGCAACCAGCAACCATCTCTGTCGCACTATTCCACCGAAAGAAAGGTAAACGTCTGGCCCGGGTTTCCCTCATCTCACCTCACCCACATGTCCCGATGTCCGAGTTCCGCAAGGACGCACGCACAAACGCACAAGTGCACACTCGCGCAATAAGGAACCCCATTCTTCATCCGCGATAACCCTGTGGCCCGAGTACGGCGATTCCTCTATTTGGAAGCACCAGAAGAAGCGTGACAGGTCTTGATTGGCGTAGCGCAATCCACAACTGAGATGGCAGCGTTCATCTGGTCTTGGAGCGGATTAGTTGCGCGTCAAAGCGTTGGCGCCATGGTGCTCACCACCACTTCACGCGCCTAGCTGTTCCTCAATGGGCAATCTGTTGCAGTCAAGCCCGTGCGCATCAAGATGTGTCGAACTCATGTCAAGCGCATCTTGAGGCAACCAGCCGGATCATGTCAGGCACATTCTTGCTTGCTTCTTAAGTTGCCAGTCGCGCCACGTCCAGACTAGCGATACAGTACGCTCCTTAGGGTCTCGCTCTTAGACATACCAATGATACCATACCCCCCTTCATTGTCTGTAGAGCTGAACCTTACCATGGCACTCAGTACGACACATAGCCGCGCTCTTCTATATGACGAGAGGTTTTCCACAATGCCCGAAGCTTGGAGGCGAGCCTCTTGCCACCCCCAGCAGCTACCTCGTTCCGCCGCCAAGATGAACATCCTCTTCCTCTGCACGGCGCACAACTCGCTGTCACAGCGCCTCTACCTGGCCCTGGCCAAGACACACTCTATTACGATCGAGTACGCTCTGTCCGACCAGGCCATGGTCGAGGCTGTCGCTTTGGCCCAGCCCGACCTCATCATCTGCCCGTTCCTGACATCCCGGGTGCCCAACGAGATTTACCTCAACTACCTCACACTCATTGTCCATCCCGGCCCGCCAGGTGATGCCGGCCCTAGCGCCCTCGACTGGGTGCTCATGGGCGACGACGGTTCCGAGACATCAGTCGAACGTCTCCTCCAATCTTCGGCACCTACACGGCCGGGGCGCTCCCACTGGGGTGTCACCGTCCTCCAGGCCGTAGAGGAGTTCGACGCCGGCCCCGTCTGGGCCTTTGAGCAGTTCCCCATCGATATCGATGCCCCGGACGCCACCAAATCCAACCTCTATCGAGGGCCTGTGACACGAGCAGCCCTCACCGCCACTCTGGCAGCCCTCGAGCGCATCACGACCGCAGCTTCTCGTCACACCAACGTCCTCACGCCTCCGCCATCGCCGGGGCGCGAGAAGTCGAATCTTTTGCTCCACCCCAGCGCCATCTCGCCCCGCATCCAAGCCGATCCCGTGTACCGGCAACTCTCCGTCACACTGCAGCAGTCTTTCCTCGGCGGTGTGACGCGACATCGACCACTTCTCAAAGCGTCCCAGCGCGACTTCGACATGACGAAACACACAGCGCGCGACATGTCACGCAGAATCAGGTCCGCTGACTCGCAACCCGGCTGTCTCACTGGGCTATTTGGAACCAACCTGTTCGTCTACGGCGGCACCGTTGAGGAAGCAGGTGACCTGCTCGAGGGACAATCCCAAGCGGGCACCATCATCGCCTGCCGAGATGACGCCATCTGCGTCGCGACGTGTGACGGCAAGGGCATCTGGATCTCGCACATCCGGCGTACCAAGCGAAAGATCGACGCCATGCTGTGGCCCAAGGTGCCCGCCGTGTCGGGACTTCGCGAGCTCGGCCTCCTAGACGATGCCACCTTCAGCCGCACCCAAGTACCGCGTGCCACTGTCGACTGGTCCAAGGCCGCGGCGTCTACGCATCAGGAGATCTGGGTCGACTTTACGTCCATGCCGGGCGCCCGACGCGTGGCGTTCGTCTACTTTGAGTTCTACAACGGCGCCATGAGCACGAGCCAATGCGACCGCCTCGTCGAGGCCCTCGATTTCGTCGCGCGCACACACGTTGTCGAGCGGCCCCTGAGCGCCGTCGTGCTGATGGGCGGCAACTCCTACTTCAGCAACGGCATCGCGCTGAACGTCATTGAGGCGAGCGCCGACCCTGGCCAGGAGTCATGGCGGAACATCAACCGTATCGACGACGTGGTGCAATGCCTGCTCGACGACTTCCCCAGGCGAAACATCAAGACCGTTGCAGCGATTCGAGGGAATTGCGCCGCTGGTGGCGTGGCTCTGGCGGCCGCTTGCGACGTCGTGATTGCTGGCTCAGAGACAGTACTGAACCCGGCCTATCGCGCGCTGGGTCTTCACGGGTCAGAATATCACTCTCTCTCGTACACTGGACGATGTGGCGTCGATGGCGCGAGGAGGCTGCTGCGCGACATGACGCCACTTTCGGCCTACGACGCGCGAGCCATGGGCTTGATCGATCACAGCCTGCCCGGCTCTGGCAAGGTCCTCGAGACCAGGATTCGAAACCACGTCAAGGCCATGGTGTGCGGCAGCAACGCCTACACGCCAGGCAAGTGGAAGCGAAACGTCGATGTCTCGCCGGCGGGCCACGCCGCGGCGCGCGCACAGGAGCTCGGCGAGATGGCCAAAGACTTCTGGAGCGCCCGTGCCGTCCGATACCACGAGCGCAGGCGCGACTTTGTCCGCAAGATCAAGACGCGCGGGACCCCGCTGCGCTTCGCGGGCCACAGGCGCCTCGCCGGCGTCCTTGACGAGGAGGAGTCCGACTCGTTCGACGACGTGGGCGCGTTTGAACGGCGCGCCCTCGACAGGCTCGTCGAGGAGCGTTTGAGGCAGGTCATGCCCATGAGCCCCACGGACAGCGCGCTGGGATCTGTGGACGGCGACCACCACGCGAAGGCGCTGGCGCCGACGGTCATTTGCGCCGATGTGCCGACGCGAGACCTGGGGCCCGTGTTCTCGTGTTACTACGGGTCGGCTTAAGATTGCTTAAGATGATTCACCTTTTTTCTAACTTTTATTGTTGTTTTTTTTCCTTCTTCAGAATTCCCTCTGCTGTTCGGGACCGCTCTGCGTGGTTTTCTCGCGAGCTGGCGTTTGGTGGCCAAGAGAGAGTTTCGGTAGCCGCAGAGGCATGCATTGCCGCTCATGAAGCTTTCATCTCGCGGCGGGCTGACGAGATACGAACGTGATTGGGTTGCTTGACAGGTGTTCGGGGGTTCTCTAGCGGGCAGGTCCGTCGAGAGTGTAAGCAAGCCTAGGTGTGCGCTCTAGTCCGTAATCAGTCTGCTGAACATGATTGGCAATCCTTCACGTCTCGAAACCCCCCATGCTATTGTCTGAAAAGGGGACCAAGTGATTGACACGGAGAGATGACGGGACGGCGAGCGACTGGCTAGGACTCTCGCTCTCGCTCTCCCTATCGTCTGTCTCGGAACGGCAGTTGGCTGTCTCAACACCAAGCTTTGCGGGGGGGGCGAGAGAGGGCCTTCGCCGGGGGATGGTAGGATGCCGGGTGCCCGGGCGTGGGGGAGACCGGCCCAATTACGGGGGCGTGTCTTATCTGGGACAGGGAATGCTGTGAAGATCCCGATGACGTACGGCCCAGAGGCTCGCCCCCGAAAGCCAAGCGGGTGCTTGCTTCCCCTTCTTGAGAAGGGGAGGACCTTGTTTCTCGAACGGCGAGAACACTGGCGTCTTTGTTTCCTCTTCTCTCTGCCCTAAAAGTCTAGCCTTGCCGCTCGGTTTGTCTGGGCATTTTTCTTGGCACTATCCATCCACGCCACAAGTTGAAGATGACGACAAGAGCTCACCATGGACGAACGTGATATCGATAGCAACCGGCGACGGTCCTTCGGTCGTGGTGGAGCGGGCAATATCCGTACGTGCTGCACCGTCGCTTAAGCGCCCGCTTCGTGTACTCTGACAAACAAGCTGACTTTGACATGTCCAGGGAGCTACTCCAACGCGAGGTTACCGGACCCATGCAACGAGGATGGAACCTGGCGGAGGAGAAGCAGTATTCTGAGTTCCAGGTCGAGCGACAGCGCTGAGAGGAGACGAACAAGCTTGTTACATGGGTGGACTGGGTTCTTCCAGAGCAAGAGGGATCTCAAAGCAGATTGTATACATGAGGAGCCGAAAGTGGAAGAACTCGAGGGTCAGTCGGTGGGCTCAACGTGAGGCCGGTACCATTGGCACGACAATGTGACAAATAGGAGAAGCATGCGTTGTTCGATCTCTTTGGAGTGCCTCTCTTGGGAGTTTCACAGGATGCTCGGGGTTTTTGGGTGCCTCAAGATTGGATATTGGCAGGTCGCCATGTTTGTTCCTCGCAAGATACCTCAAGGTCGCGGACTTGTCACAGATTCTGAATTTAGGTTGGAATAAAAGAGCTCCCGCCCTGGGCAGAAGATTTGGCAAATCGGGGAGAAGTAAGCCGCGTTCAAAAGCAACGTGTGTCTTCCAGACGGCAGTTTTGAGTCCCTACCCTGCGTACCACAACAAGAAGATCAAAGTTCACCATCGCGACCAACATATCCGTTTCATATGGTCAGTCGATAAACAGGATCTCCTGTGAAACCGACATCGTATCGAGTTACTAGACAGCTGGATGTCGAGCAGATATGGCTCGTCTGCAGCTCCTCGCACGCCAGTCGCTTCGCCCGCTGTTTCCCTTCCAACCGCGCAGCACCAGCACTAATATGTCTCGATGACTTCTACTAATTCCATGATAATGTACACAGAAAGTGGCAACATGAAGGATTTAGTAGTAGTAGATACGTGTTATCTGACACTTTTGACGCCCGCTGTATCCAGTCATCTGCACAGACAGTAATACAGAAGGCCTGGGAATCATCCCTGGGGGTTGGGAGGCTACAGAAGCGTACCTTATAACTGAGGGCCACTCATGGCCCTCCTAGCTGTAGAGGTCTTTTCCAGGCCCGCCTGAGATCTCCCGTCATTCTTTCAAATAGCCCCAGGAAGCCACTTAACCGCCCAGACAGGCAGAAGCCGGCCTGTTGCTATAACACATGCAAACAACATACGATACTCCCAAATTTAGTGCTAAGTCTGACTTTAGTGGCTGATGGTCGTCGAGTTTCTCCTGGATTGCGATCTTTTTTTCTTCGATCATTTGCGTGCAAACCGAATGCAATGCGTTCGCCGCCTGTATAACCATGGCATTGAGCTTCCAGGGCAACAACCTCACAAATCTCATGCCAAAATCTAAGCCAAGCATTGAGTAAACCAATTTCTCGGGAGTTGGATCGAGGAGTTTCGTGTATATTTTATGAAGCGGATCGTCGGACTTCTCGATAGTATTCATGTCGTGACCCAAACCGGCAACGCCGATAATGTCAAGCGTGACTTTGCTGGCCCAGAATGTCAGACCCACAACCGCAGAGTCTTGCCCTGCGTCGATGGGATCTGGAGCAATTTCCTGGGTGAGGGCGCTCACCAAATCCTCAGCTTTGGTCCACATCATTGGATACAAATTCTTGATATGCCGGAATTGGAAAGCAGGCATGGTGTTCTTGCGGAGAAACTTATGTATCTCCTTCCACGATGATGAGCCCGTCGCCAAGGATGTGCCGCAGGAATGAGCTGATCTTGTTTGGCTTGGTGAAATCGTAACATTTGTTGACCAGCACGTTGGCGAGAAGCCGAGGGTTGGTGACGAATACTTCGGTTCCAGCGACGCTGAGCATGATCATGTCTTGTGCTGGATACTTTTTCGCCAGTCGGAGCAAGTGGTCCCCTGAGGGTCCATCTTTGACAATTATGGCTCGAAGGGTATCGCTGAAGAACGCCTTTCCCAATATCAGTGAGCAAGGTTCGTAGCTGCTGCGAACAAAATGTTGACTGACTCTGGGACCTAAAATGTGCCGCAGGGGGCTTAGAAAACGCGGGTATAGGAGCAACCAGAAGAAGTCCAGCCCCATAGTTCATGAAAACGACAACAGTGGTAAAGATCAAACGACTCTGTAGATTAGTGAGGCACTATAGCACCTTGACACCCAGAAATGTCTCCGTCCCTGCCAACAGTGTGAGCATAGGAAAGCTGAACAAGCTGAATACGACGTTCATGATGATTAACGAGTAGAAAACAAGGGAACGGCAAAGTTCGTGGTGAGTTTGGGTCTGGATGATCCGCCGCCTAAGGTGCGAAGTTGATTCATCATATCAATGCCGGCTCTCAAGCAGTCTGAAAGTCGTCGTTCCCATGGCTACTTATGTGGATCCATTCGTTGATGTATTTGGTCACCAAAGATGCTTCAGCCTTCATGCGAGAAGCGCCAAAGCCCTGTCAAGTCCATTGGAAGAAATCACACATTCAACATGAAGTAAATCCGCTTGACCATGATGCGGCCGGGGGCCATTCTTCGGAAACCTGCCTCGCGCGGTTTCAGGTGCACTTGTACAGGTCAGCGCCAACATTTAGCTAAAAACCAAACCGCAAAAGTTCCTCTGTTGCTGCCTCGGTATTTCCTTTAAGGTGCAGATGTTTTGACCTGACTAGACCTTGACTCGGGGCCATCATGATATGCAGGTCGCAAAGACCGTCTCCATTAGGTTTAGTTTGCAAGCTAACTGCAACCTCGCACTGGATTGCCCCCCTTCTGCTATTGACTCGCTGGGGCGGCCGCTGAAACTCACAAACGTCAGCAATCCTCCACTAGAGTGATCTGTCGGCCGAGATGCATCACATGTACGCACATGCGCATTTATGGGATGGCCATGCTTGGATTCGACCAATCCACCTGTACCGCATTGCTGGGGCTCAGCACCTCCTCGCCTCACCTGACCCGTCGTATTGGGGTCCTCTTCCCAATGAGTAACCACTTTCTGAGTGAAGCCTCCTCCGCGCTTGCGACTCAGGGTGCGAAGGCTAAATGGTACCCATAAAGTCGGCCTCATGTTTCACAAGCGACGACGATGCCTTCTCCCTTATACAAACCTGATTATCCTTCTCTCCCTTCTTGGAAAGTATATCAGTATATCGCCCTACCGCACGCGCCTAAACCTTCCCAATAGTCCAGTAATATCGATTTTGAACAGCCACGATGACGCAGACTGTCGAGCCCGGAACCCTCGGCCACCTGACCGCTGACGAGCAGAGCAAATTGCAAGAAGCCTGGAAACTTCTACTCGAGCTCAGCGGAGTGAACTCGCCTCATGATGACCCGCCGTCAGACGTCAGCCAGGACCATCAGTTCACGGGCACATCACCAAAAGTCTTCCGTGAGCGCTTCTGGGGCTCCGTGCGCCAACATCACCCAGACGCCATTGTCCTGCGATTTCTCCGTGCGCGAAAGTGGGACGTCGAGAAGGCCGTGGAAATGCTTATAGCGACAATCGATTGGCGTCACGAGCGACGAATGGATGAAGAGATTGTCAGGAAAGGCGAATCCGTCGCGTTGATCACATCGCCCTCTGAGGATGAGAAGAACTTTCTCGCGCAGTACCGGTCGGGAAAGAGCTACGTGAGAGGCTCAGATCTGGAAGGCCGCCCCGTGTACATTGTCAAGGCTCGACTGCACAACCCCAGTCTTCAGTCCGCAGCAGCAATGGAGGCGTTTGTTCTTCACAACGTGGAGACCATCAGCCTGATGGTCAAGGCTCCGAACGACAAGACGTGTTTCGTCTTTGACTTGAGCGGCTTTGGCCTTCGTAACATGGACTTTCATGTTGTACAGTTCCTCGTCCAGGTCTTTGAGGCTAGGTATCCCGAGTCCCTTGGACTGGTTCTGGTGCACAATGCGCCGTTCGTCTTCTGGGGTAAGCGATGCGATGTTTCATATCCACGGACACCCACTAAACCTAATCATAGGGATCTGGAGTGTCATCAAGCACTGGCTTGACCCCGTCGTTGCGTCGAAAATTACCTTCACCAGCGGTAAGACGGGTCTGTCAAAGTACATACCTCCAGAGAATTTGCAAAAGTCGTACGGCGGGAACGACTCGTGGGAGTACAAATACATCGAACCTGTTGTGGGAGAAAACGAGCGATTGAACGACGAGGAGAAGCGTTCCAAAATCCAAGCCGAGCACGATGATCTTATTTGTCAATTCGAGAAATCCACGGCCGAGTGGGGTCGTCATGAGGCGGGTTCAGATGAGGCAAAGAGAATTGATGGGCGGAGAGTCGAAATAGCAAGGAAGATGGAGGTGAACTACTGGAAGTTGGACCCATATCTGAGGTCGAGGACGCATTATCATCGAGCGGGGGTCATTGATGCTGGCGGAAAGATTGACTGTAGGGCAACAAAGGTGATGTAGGACGGAAGCATCAACCAGCTAGAAAAGCTGGCAATCTCTTGTACAACCTGAAGCCTCAGCATGTCATCAACTCGTAGCAATAGATGAGTGGGCGGTGATGGACGGTCGACTCTAATGCAAAGATTTCAGACTGTCTCTCCCAAGCCCCAATCCACCTCAGCTTGACCGAGATTACAGTATGTAGGAGCAATTGGCACATCGCTCCCTAACATCAGATCCTTTGGACGAGCAGAAATCATGGAACGCAGGAATTCTTGCTCGGCGATCTAGTTGGATATCTTGGCTGTGCCACCTTCTTCCCACCCTAGGGCTGATCTGATCCCGATTGTCGTATCAATCCTGATGAGTATGCTCTGAGCTTTCTAAAGCTGATCTGGCGTGCTGTACGCGCAGTAGGCGACGAGTCTTATGGATTGAACAATAATGAAGGCACTAGCTCCGTCATGCGGCATTGAAGCCGGCTGTCCATCTGAAGAAAGATCCCCTAGTATATACGGTACGCTGTGGAGGATGTCGTCGATGGTCTTCCGAACATCATCCTCCAAGAATGAGACGCATGCTTCCCAAGCAGCGCTGTCTTCTTGCGTACTGCGGCATGCAACAGGGCCGGTTTGCGTTTTACCGTAACACAGAAGCATGGTTAGTAGGAGTATCAGGCGCGGAGATCGGATCAAGATGATGATACAAGCCATATCAGCATCGTAGGATGTCATGCCAGATGCAACTTGGCCTAGCATGGTCGGAACGGTACGACCGACAAAGCTTTGTTCCCAGTACGCACCGGCTTCGGCATCCCAACGGGCGAAATCCTCCAGTGCCTCGAAAGACATTCGTATGCGCGTCAGAGTGTTCCTGAGCGACAATACTCTGGACATCATAGACATTGCCCGGATGAGAGGGTCAAACATGCCTAGCAATGATTTTATTGCTCCAGGGTCGCTGTATCTGTCGTCCTCGTTCAGAAATGAGTAGGTTTGCTACCAATCAATCCATGTTACCTTAACTATGACGACTATCCAGTTGAGCTGTGAGAAATGACTACACACCAGTCTCAGATGAGCCAGGAGGAACAACTGAGCACCTATTTTGGAGATGATCTGGTCCGTCCCCCTTTGTTCCAAGAGGTAGAAGAGCCCGGGTGCATGATCCTGGGAGTTGCCAGATCCTTCGCCGCTGATGTCCTACCATATGTCAGCAATGTCCTTACCAGGGGCGAGAATGCCCATCTGCACTTCTGGCACGGACTCCACTTACCTTGAGCATGCACATGAGTAAGATGGTTGTAACGATCTTGTCATCCGTCGCAAAGCCTTCTATTTGCATTGCTTCCTGCAACATCTTATTGGTGCGACTGTGATATCTGTACGATTGCAGTCGGAACCTCTCGCTTCTATGACGGTTGAAAGCTGCGTAATGAGCAACACTCATGGTGGCTGTTTCAAGAACACCACGACTTGCATGATCGTAGAGGGCGGGGAGGAAACTAAGGTGGCCAGAAACCCCGTCGGCGTCGTCAGGTGACACGAAGCGTTTGACAAAGTAGCAAAGTGATATTTCGTCGTCTGGTAGGTCTGGCGAGCGATAGATGACTTCACTGCGACTTTGAGAAAGCAGAGATAGCGCAGTATTCTCGCTACGTTCAGAGCATTGTCGAGTCAAAGGTTTGGGGACCCCTCCCCGTTCATTCCTCCCGGATACTGATGAGGTGAGTGCGTTACCGGGCGCTACCTCAAAGTCGGTCTTCGTTAGACCAACTCGAAAGTGAAAGGTGTCGGTGTAGCCTGGGCAAGGTTTGCCATACACCCTACATCGTTGACATGTTGGTTTCTTCCCATCGCACTTTCAAATCAGGTAGTTAGCTGCTTATTCTGAAAGCTCTCACGAGAGCATGTACACCTAAAGAGATGACTGTTGGCCGCATCACCGTCGAAGACCCCCACCTTTAGTTTTCGCTGGCGACATCGCCCACAGCCCGTGCTGAAGCGACCTGGGAACACCATTCTGGCAAGTGAATCGATCGCATGCTAAGGAGCATGGATGGCGTTGGATGCCCCGAGAAACTACAGATAGATCAATGCGGTACGGCAACACGGCGATGCGACAATGAGAGCCTTTCGCCATAGCGAAAGGGGTGAGGGAGGAGACGCAACATCGACGGCTGGAGGCGGGAATGCTGGAGACATAATGAATTCCTCAACGAACCATGACATGGTTATGTTCCTTAACCACTACAGGCCAAGCTTAACGGCATCCTCAATCTCTCTGGTCCAGCGAAGATAGCCGTCTCGGCCACCTGGGCCCGCCACCTGGGCCTTTCTGGGTCTGCTTGACATTGTTGTCGCCTCAAATCACCTGTACTCTGTTCTATGAGAGCACCTGTATGACAGTCATAACCTTAACGCCTGCCCTCTCAAAAATTGAAAAAAGCTCAGTCCCCTCGCACACAACCCCCTAAACGGGTTTAGGCGTCCTGATCAACCCCCAGGTGATGCCTTTCTGTCCCTCGCCGTTGAAGCAAGTGACTCCCGCCTTGACACCAAGCCTGCCGTTCTTGGCCAGCCACGACGACGAACTGATGTAGAACCTCACGTCATTGGTGCCGACGAGCAGCTTCGTCCGCGCCGCCGCTGTGTCGAAGCGGACGGCAAACGTGCAGGTACCCTTGGCGGCGACCCAGGCCCAGCCGTCGTGCTTGAAGTCGGCGGCCGCAAACGTGTAGGCGCCCTGGCGCGCACCGACGTCGTCGGCGATGAGGCTGCAGTCGGCGGCGAGGGGGGCGGCGGACGAGGTGTCCGGGGTCGGGGTGACGGCTACCTCGCCGCAGTACTCGAAGCGGCCGCCGGCTGTGTAGACGGGGTGCTGGTAGTCGAGGGCGCGGCGGGCGAGGGTGCTGGGGTTGAGTGAGGTGTTGATGGGGGAGGCTGAGGCGAGGAGGGCGAGGGCAGAGACGACGCCGAGGAGGAGGTGGACGGCGGAGCGCATGGCGGCGGTGTGATTCAAGGCTGCTGGGTGTGTTAGAACATGTTGACTTGGGGGTTCTTGATGAAGGGGCGACTACCTGTCAACTTTGTTTCTGGGTTTGTTTGATGGGCTTAACGGCTGATGAAGGTCGGTAGCTGCTGGGGATATGGGTGACAGAGATTGACTTGGTTGAAGTGAGGGCAGCAAGGAAGGGAAAGAGCGAGGCAGGTCCTAGGTATCTTATAGGCAACACTGAAGGAGGGCAAAGGCAGGCTCGAAATCAATCGAAGCTCGAGGCAGGAGGACCGGGTAAAGAAGCAGCAGCAGCAGGATAACCACTTGCATATAGGCCGCATCTCGTGAATCACGAGCAGCCCCTTTTCTCCCCCCCCCCCCTCCCCGAAGCTAGGCCTAGGCATGATTCGCCCACATCACGATCTGGCCACGGCGGGGTACATCCCAGTCATTCATCCGGGTCGAAAGAGAGACAGAAGGGAGAGGGGAAGGCATCGTGGCAGTTTTTTCTTTGCTCGATTGGAGATGGCCTGCAGATCGGTCATGCTGTTGGTCTGCGGGCTTCATATTGGGACGTGGTGCACGCCGCACGGTGACGAGTGCCCGCAGGTCTGCATGGATGGGCTGTTCTGTCAGCAGGGGCCGGGGGGGGGGTCCGAAAAGGCCAACCGGTCGATCGTTCGAGATCACGCAGCGAAGGAGAGTGTAAGATGGGGCTTCCGAGCCTGACGTTACGGAGCGATAGTTTCGTGATAGTGATGAGGCACCTGGGACCCGAGGGAGAGGATTGGCGGCCAGAAGCGCCGGCCCTATGTGATGTCTTTGACAATGGTCAGGGCACCAATCACGACAAGGCGACAGGAGGGGCTGAATCTGGCGAGGACTGGCCTATGAGCCAAGAGAATCGGCATCCGAAGTGGCCATGATGGGCTCGAAGGGCACCAGTTATGCGGAGGACCATGCAGCCCCCGACGGTGATGGAGGGATGCGACCTAGGGAAGCCGACGCGGCGACACATGGTCACATCGTGGGGCCAAGGCGAGGGTCAGGCCGAAGGGCCCCAGGGTCGAGGGCCGGTCCGCCCCCCACACGGGTCGCCGATGGTCGGCCGGCGCAGTCGGGTGCGCGACAGTGGTAAGGGCGAAGGTGGACGATTTGTGGTGTTGCTGTGGAAGGATGGGTGATTGTTGGGGGATGAGCGACAATGAGACGAGCTTGACCTGTGAAAGAACGGGGCCATGGATCACGATATGTATGATCCAGTGAAGAAGTCAATGGAGGAGCATGGTCCCTACCGACCTACCTACCGAGGTAGGTACCTAAGGGACCTAGGTACCTAGGGAAGCATCTCGATTGAAGACAAGCAGGGTAAGAGTCGCCACACGAAGGAAATGTGATTTGGATGACCTAATAGAGTCCTTCAGACAGGCATCTCAAGGACGAAAAGAGCGAGGCGTTACGTGATGCCATTCTTGTCAGTAATGTGCCTCAGCAGAAAGTCAGAGTCAGAGGAGAAAGGCGTCGACGAGAAGCTAAAGATCACGTAAGGACCCCCCCAAATGGCCCAAATGACCCCAATGGCCCAAACTTGGGGTCCTTCTCGGTACCCGGCACCCAATCGAAGCCCCCCCAAACAGTCGCTCTGACCAATGCCGAGCACTGACCGTGATGTCAGCCTCCCACCAGCTCCCTCCAGCTTGCCTCGCCTCTCCTTCTGCCTTTCTGCCTCCTCTTATGCTTAACACGCGGAATGCAAGTGACCTCTCTGGTCTTTGGCCCCCTTTTCTGCGTGCTCGACAAATTTTTTACCTCCCCTTCGTCCACTGGCCAATACTCAATCCCCATTTGGAGCGCACGGGTTGACGAAACATCATCAGGACAAGCATGAGCATGGCATAGTACAACCGACTGCCCATTGTCCATCTTTCAGCCTGCCATTTCTCAACCAACAGGCTAGCCCCCACGCCCTTCGAGAGCATCGCATCGCTCAGCATCGTATACCTTACCGTAGCAGCAAGGCTTTCAGCAGCACACTCGACCTATCTGGCCTGTCACAACAGTTGATGCATCTTGCCGCGGCCTGACTCCCGACAAAGCGGCCCCCATCCAGGCTTCGCGCCTCGCGCTCTCCCCTTCGCCGTCCTACCGACCATGGCGGCCCATCGACCCGCCAACCCTAGCGGCTTGCGAAACACGTACAACGCTGCCTCCAGAAACTCCTCCATTCACGAAGACAACCGGGCAGCGGGGGCCTCCAGCAACGACGGCGACGACGCGCCTGCCTCGCCTTCGACCGAAGCGCCCCAGCCCGGACCAAGCGCTCCTTCTCGACCGCCTCCTCCCCAGCACACTGAGTCGACAGGCCTCCTCCACTCGGTCCTACGCGACAACATCAACGAGGGCCATGGCGGCCATGGCACCTTCTCCCCAAGGCCATCGAGCCCCGTGACGAGCTTCAACAGCTACGAGAATGACACGGCCTCCAACGCCTCCCAGCGCGGCGGCCTTGACAAGGTGATCAACTCGATCACGGGCAGCGAAGACTGGAGGAAGAGCTGGCACAAGTCTGTCATGTCGAGGAGCATCACAAACTCGGACCGCCTCGCTGCCGAGGCCGGCTTCAAGGCCAACACGCGCATGTATCTGTCCTATTACTTTCCCTTCCTGCAGTGGATGCCCCAGTACAAGTGGTCCTACCTCAAAGGCGATTTCGTCGCCTCCCTGACCGTCGCCTCCGTCTACCTGCCCATGGTCTTGTCGCTCGCCGAGAACCTGGCCCACGTCCCGCCCATCAACGGCCTCTACGCCTACGTCATCAACCCCCTGATCTACGCCATGCTCGGCAGCTGCCCGCAGATGATTGTCGGTCCGGAAGCCGCCGGCTCGCTACTCGTCGGTACGGTTGTCAAGAGTAGTCTGGGCACGGGCGATGATGACGACGACGACGTGCTGCAGGCGCAGATTTGTGGCATCGTCGCTGGTATGGCGGGTGCCACCATTCTGCTCGCCGGCATCGCTCGTCTGGGATTCCTTGACAGTGTGCTCAGCCGGCCATTTCTGCGCGGCTTCATCTCGGCCATTGGCTTCGTCATCTTTGTAGACCAACTCATCCCTGAGCTTGGTCTCAGTCGCTATGCGGATGAGCAGGGTGTTGGCCACGGCAGCAGCGTCGACAAGATTGACTTTATGATTAAGAACCTCGGCCGCACGCACAAGTTGACCTTCTTGGTGGCTGCTGTCAGTTTCACCATTATGATGGTCCTGCGCGAGATGAAGAAGCGGCTCCAGCCCCGCTACCCCGGTGTGGCCTACCTGCCCGACCGGTTCTTCGTCGTTGTCGTCTCCATCATCCTGTCGTGGCAGCTCGGCTGGGAGGGCAAGGGTGTTGAAGTCCTCGGCACCGTTGAGGCGGCGTCCGGTCACCTCTTCACCTTCCGCTGGCCGTTCCAGCTTTCCCATATGAAGCACATTCGCGAGGGCATGAGTACGTCGTTCCTTATCGCGCTTCTCGGCTTCTTCGAGTCCTCGGTTGCCGCAAAGAGTCTTGGTGGTTCAGACAGCATCCAGGGCATGCAGCTCAGCCCCAACCGCGAGCTTGTCGCCCTCGGTGCGGCCAACGTCATGGGCGCCTGCTTCATGAGTCTGCCTGCGTTTGGCGGCTACGCGCGAAGCAAGCTGAATGGTTCGACCGGCGGCAAGAGCCCCATGAGTTCCGTCTTCCTCAGCGGCATTGCCCTGTTTGCCATTTTCTTCCTGCTACCCTATTTGTACTACCTACCGGTGAGTTCTCTCTTGTTTGTCGCCATGTGTGCCGTGCGCTGACCCCTACAGAAACCCGTCCTCTCGGCCATGATCACGGTCGTGGCATGGTCGCTTCTTGAAGAGGCTCCCCATGACATCGCGTTCTTCCTCGGCATCCGGGGCTGGAGCGAGCTCGGCCTCATGGCCATCATCTTCCTGGCCACCATCTTCTACTCCCTCACGGTTGGCATGGCCATCGGTGTCGGCCTCTCGGTGCTCCAAGTTATTCGACACTCGACGCGCCCTCGTATCCAGATTCTTGGCCGCATCCCGGGCACGCACCGCTTCGAAAACGCAGAGGCCGACCCCGAGCGACTCGAGTTCTTCGAGGGCTGCCTCATCGTCAAGATTGCCGAGCCCATGACCTTTGCCAACACGGGCCAGCTCAAGAACCGGCTGCGCAGGCTCGAGCTCTACGGCACCAACATGGCGCACCCGGCGCTGCCACGCCTCCGCCACGAGGAGAACAACCGCAACATCATCTTTGACATTCACGGCGTCACGTCAATGGACGGCTCCGGCACCCAGGTCCTCAAGGAGATTGTCGAGAGCTACCGCGAGAGGACCGTCCGCGTCTTCTTCAGCCGCGGCCCCGGCAACAAGAAGCACCACATCTGGCGGCTCATGCGGCAGTCGGGCATTGTCGAGCTCGTCGGCGGCGAGGGCCAGTTTGTGGCCGACGTGCAGGAGGCGCTCAAGATGACCGAGTTTGAGGAGAGCGCAACCAATGCCTAGTGGGCGTTTACGTGCGCGTGAGGGGGGCGGGGGGAGCGCAGTCATTGTGTGGTCGAAAAGCATCGATCGGCGTTTCTTTCAATTTTGGGCATAGCATGCATGTTTGGAGTGGGTGGTTTGACTACAGAAACAGCACTAGATGGGGCAAGGGGGTGATTTGTAAGTACACAGTGTTCCCATGATTTCGGCATGACGAGTCTTGTCAGAAGGTTGAGGAGGGGGCGGGCATTGGACGAGCTGGATGTTTTCCCGTTGGCGAGGCTGAGGACGCAAAAAAGAGAAATGGCTTCGAGCAGGCACATGAATTCACTCAGAGTAGATGCATACTTGGAAAAGAACAAGGCTAGTTTTTATTTTCACATTCCCTTTGGCGGCTTCCTACACTTTGGTTACAAGACCTCGTTGACGAACATGCCGGCCATGCCCATGCCGGTGCCGATGCACATGCTCACGACGAGGACCTTGCCCTTGCGTCTGCGCAGCTCGCTGAGGCCGGTGACGACCTGGCGGGCGCCGGTGGCGCCGAGGGGGTGGCCGAGGGCAATGGCGCCGCCGCGGGGGTTCATCTTGGCCCAGTCGAGCTCGAGCTTGTCGCGGCAGTAGACGGCCATGGAGGCAAAGGCCTCGTTGACCTCGAAGACGTCGACATCGGCGGCCGAGACGCCGACCTGGCTCAGCAGCTTGGGGATGGCGATCGAAGGGCCAATGCCCATGATGCGGGGCGCGAGGCCGGCGACGGTCGAGGCGACGTACTTGGCGAGGATGGGCTGGCCGAGTGCGACGGCCGTCGAGCGCTTCATGAGGACGAGGGCGGCGGCGCCGTCGGTGACCTGGCTCGAGTTGCCGCCGGTCGACGTCTCGCCCCACTGGGGGAAGGCGGCGCGGACCTTGGCGAGGGACGCGGCCGTCGTGCCGGGGCGGATGCCCTCGTCGCGCGTCAGCGTGACCGTCTGCTCGGTGCCGTCGGCGGCCTTGACCTTGGTCGTGATGGGCACAATCTCGTCGGCCGTGAGGCCCTCCTTTTGCGCGCGCTCGGCGCGCTGGAACGACTCGGCGGCAAATGCGTCCATCTGCTCGCGCGTCACGCCAAAGTCGCGCGCCACGTTCTCCGACGTCCAGCCCATCGGCTGCATGCAGTCGGCCGACTCCTGCGAGCGCGACGTCACGGCCTCGTCGAACGGCTGGTCGAGCGCGTCGCCGCCGATCGACATGGACTCGGCGCCCATCGCGATGCCCACGGCGATCGACCCCTGCGCAATGGCGTGCGCAATGTCCGCCGTCGCCTGCAGGCCTGACGAGCAGAACCGGTTCACCGACGACGCCGCCGATGTGTTGGGGAAGCCGGCGGCGAGGGCCGCGGCGCGGAGCTTGTAAGCGGCCTTGCCGTCGGAGACCTGTTTTCACGCCATTCGTCAGTACGCTGATGCCAGGCTGCGGGGAGAAGCAAGATAGAAGGATATGGGTAGAGAGAAAGAGGGGCGAGAGACAAACATTGCCCATGCGAATGTCCTCCACGAGAGCCGGGTCGAGGTTGGAGCGCTCGCGAACCTGGTCGAGGAGCGCAAAGATTATGTACTCGAGCGATGTGTCCTTGAAACCACCTTTGCGAGCCTTGGTCAGGGGTGTACGCGCAGCGAGGGTGATGACCACATCATCGGGGTTCTTGGCCTGGCTTTGGGTCTGTCAGCTGAGAGCCGGGAGAGGGAGGGGGGGTGAGCATCAATCGGGGGTTGACAAGAAGGAGAAAGAAGAAAAAGACGTACATCTGGTTCAGGGCCGAGCCCGGGTTCAGGTGCTTCACGATGGAGGAGATGCGTTCCATGGTGCTGACGGTGATGTGGATGATGATATGGACGGCGGTTGATGGAGGGAAGATGACAGGTTAGGAGAGGGAGCAGGAGGAGTGAAGGAGAAGGGAAAGAAAGGAGGCAAGAGATGGGGAGAACGTTTCAATAAGAAGCCGTGACATCGTCGAGAGGGGGCCAAGGCCTGACGGTGGCACGCCTCGGGAGTCGAATCGACGTCTGGCGGCGTTTGCAGCTGGGGGCGTCTGGATGGGGTTTGCCGCAGCCCATGAGCCGAGGCATCCAAGGGCAGCCGCAGCCTGGGGTATGAATAGCCATGACTAAGGTAGGACCTAAGGAGACGGGGAGGGGCGGCCCACCCCTCCTTCTCCCCCCACATCCATCAGGTGACTAAGCCGAACGAGCCCGGCCCCAAAGGCAAGGGTCGTGAGCGAGACACGGTCGATACCCGATCAGATCTTCCCGTCTCTGCGCGCGCCAAACCTCTGCACGCTGGAATGCCCTGGCGTTACATGGCCGAGGTGCAATGTGGCAGTATCGCAGTGTCGCAGTGAGTGCCAGGCGAAATCACACCTGGATTCTGAGTTTACCAGTGCATCCATCCAAGAGCCCTACTGGTAATATTTCCAAAGAAAAGAATATCCAACTGGCCTAATGTACAGTCCATCCATCTCAACCAAAAACCATAAACAAAAAAAAAAAAACGCCTGATTGGGTCCCAAAGGTCTATCGTGAAAACATTAGTAGTATGTGCTCAAATACACATCTTTTGCATGCTGCCACATCTTCTGCATGCCGCCGCACTACGCACCAAGCAGCCACATCGCAGACACGACGCTGGCTGCCATCATGCCCAGAGACACCCGAGCCACACCAGCCGCGCTCTGCGGCTTGACACCTTTCGCCTGGAACCCAAGGTACCAGGAGCCAATGTCCGTCAGCTCACCAGCATTGTTGAGGAACGGCACGTTGGGGCCGACGTTGCTGGCCGCAGAACGGAACGCGCCGTAGTACGAGTAGAGCCCAATGTCCGGAACGCGCTCAAAGTAATCGCTCGTCGTGTTGTAAAATTGCTCCGTCGGCCGCAGGTCCTGGTGCGCATAGGCATACTCGGTGACCCAGATGCTGGTATTGGGGAAGCTGCAGGACACCTGTTAACATGCATTCGTGACCGTGCGCTCTTCCTCGTGGTTGGGTGGAACATACTTCTCAATGCGTTCGCCAATGTGGCTCGCCAGTCCCTCAAAATTGTCGTACCAATGGACGGGCAGAAAGTCGTACGTGCAGTTCTTCTTCGTGTCCTCGCCGACGCTGATCAAGTCGGAGCAGTTGCCCAGGAACTGGTGCAGCCACTGCAGGCCGTAGGGCTGACCCGTCATGGCGGGCAGGCCGACCTTGATGCCCCTCTCCTGGAGCGGGATAAAGTTGGCGACCCAGGCGCGGGCGGCGAGGGCGGGCGGCGTGTCGCTGCCGCCGTACTGGAATCCCATGTCGGGCTCGTTGAAGCCCAGCACGCGCGTGATGTTGCGGCCCTCGTCGTCGATCATGCGGATGACGGCGTCCTTGAACTCCGTCTTGTTGAGGTCGTTGTGGTCGACACCCCACATCATGGGCACGTACTCGAGCTGCTCCTGCGTGTAGTCTGCGAATGTCGGGCTCGGCCGAAACCCATAGTTGTAGTACCAGGAAATTTCGGAGCCATCTTGCATCCAAGTCTTGTGGTCGCTGGGGAAGTCCGTCTCGGCGATGAAGCAGAGGCCACGCTTGTTCGAGCTGCTCTGCGCTGTCGACAGCGGCAGTAGCGGGAGCAGCGCCAGCAGACCGACAGCCCGGGCGATCATGGCGGGCAGTTTGTCGGGTGTTGTGGATAGCAAATCAAGAGAGAAAAAAGACTGTCGCTTCGAAACGGCGCGCAGACGACGGTGAATAAGGGGTGCTGCTGCTCGAGATTGTAGCAGCGTCGAAATGCGGCACAAGGTAATGAATGTCGGCGTCGTAAGGGGGGGGCGCACCAGATCGAGCAGGCTGGACGGATGTCGCTGGATGGGGGAACTGGCGATGAACGAGTGGACGCGCAATATATTGAATGCGCTCAATATGCAGGTCGATGAAGAAAGGGAAAAATGAGTGACGGAACTGACAGACAAATGCAGGAGCCGAGAGGAAGGAAACACGGCTGGTGATGGTCCACGGCCTTGGCGGCAGGAGATTTCGCTCTCGCGTCACCAACAGGATGCCCGCTGGCCACTTAAGCCACTGTTAGCGCCTTGATGTGCTGTACCCTCTGCTGCGCCATGGCTGCGGTGCGCCCGCCGTCAAAGATACGAGGTCACTAATCATCCAAGCACCTACCTAACCTCAGGTACCTTTCGGTGAGTGGCCAATGTTGCGTCTATTGAGCCTGCCCCTATGTACCTTAACCACCCGACCAAGTCCTCCTGCCCATGAAGCCATTCCATCGCTTGAATCTATCTCATCCTCAACGGGCACATAATACATACCATCACCCATCGACTCATCCTCGTGTTCAACTCGTTGATCGTCCGACTGTACCGGCGGTTAGAGATACAGCGGGACAACCTAATGCACGCCGCCCCTCTGCTACAGACAAAGACGCACCTGAACTCCACCAGAACAAGGGCACCCTGACGCTAGGTGCGCCACCAAGCCGCCGTCGTCGTATCCGCTACGAGTCTCTAGTGCTTTCGGAGCTCGAACTCCTGCCCTTGACCGAATTGACCGAGACGTGCTGAATCATCAAGAACATGTTTCAACTTTCAACATGCCCGGTTGAACAGTGTCTTAAAGTCGACGACGCGCCGACCTTGCGACCTGCATTGTCATCTCATCGATAACTTTTCCCGTACTTCGGTCCATCTCAGCATACCTATTCTTGTCTGCCACCATGGCAGGCGATGCCGTGGCCTCCTGTCGATAATGGCAAAGCCTTGGTCAATGTCAGAGACCAAGTCTGAGAGGAGGCCCAAAAGCGAACGGCGTCAGATCAGACTTGGTCTTCGCACGCGCATGACGGGACCTGGTGAAGACGACAAGAGGATGTTCCTCGTGGGATCGTCTCCATCTCCATGATTGTCGTCAAAACAAAGAACAATCCAGCCGGTTGCTTTCGACTGCAACAAAGCCCTGAAGCCCTCGGAATGTCACTCTTTGTTCCCTCGATGAGTGCGCTCCGCCCAATAATACGGATGCAGGGAAGAACGAACATATCGCACATCATGTAAAGCGCTCTACATGCCCATCAATGGGCTCTCAACCTTGACTTACGGCACCTCCACCACTTTCCCGCCTAGACGACCGCCCGCTGTCATCCTGGCTCCAATTTTATCACCATCACTCACTTCGCCATGGATCCCCTCTTCGATGCGCCCTCTCTCGGGACCTCTCGCCAGTTCAATGTCATGACCGAAGAGGAGCGCAAAGCTCTGTTGACCATGACCGCTATGGATAAGACTGGGTGGGCACCTGAATCGTTCAGAGATGGCCCTTGGGGTATCGCCGACGATCCGCAGCACCCGTGGCGACACAAAGATGTACCGGCCTTCCTGGGAAAGCTTGGCTACGGCACCGTGTATAGAATGCCTGAGATCATCGACGAGAGGAAGGCTCGAGCATTGGGGAAGACTTGGAGGGACGAGGTTTGGAACGCCTTTCAGCCTCTGAACGAAAACATCAGACGAGATGGGGATCTCCTCATCTACATCCTGGCCAACGAACAAGTCCTTCCCGACCACGACATTTCCACGTTGCTGTCCAATGCCTGGGATAAGACCAAGAACATGCCTCTCTACGCACCACTGTTTGGTCAGACTTCGATCACCGAAGACGCTCCCGAAGGGTACCGCGATTACCTGAGTCACTGGCGAGGCACCGTTCGACATGATTGCAAGGCAGAAGCGGATCTCAGCAGCAGCAGCAGCAGCCAGAAAGTAGACAAGGTTAGCTGGACACGGCCGCTGCTTGATGTCAAGGTCAAGGAGCCACAGACATATAACGACTTTGTCGCTCGCAACATGCTCGCACTCACCATCCCGTGGCTTCACACAAAGCATCTCCTCAATCGACACACGCTCTGGAAGGCCATCATGGATCGGTCTACTGCGCAGCCATACGACTTGAGTCGAGCAGACTGGGCCGCATCCCACCCTGCTCGCTCAACACATCTCGTCGTGCCACCGTATCGAGATGGATGGTTTATGGGGTTCCCGAATTACAAAATTGGTACCAAGTATTGGACCAGCCTCGAAGAGATCAGTACCCAAACGTTCACGACTGATACTCGGGTGCACTGGCATGGTCTCAACATTATTGATCCGGGCCCTAAAGAGCTTCGAGATCCTCGCTTCGCTGCCCTGCGTGACAGCGGCCTCATATATCCTTGGGGCGAGGGCCTCCTTATTCTCCAGTGTCAAGGAGTGATTTCTCGCTTCATGGAAAACCTAGTCCCGTCTCTTCTGGAAAAATTGGCGTTATCGAACGAATGGCCAATGAAGATGTTGAAGCCGCTGATGAGCATAGATCCCTTTGCGAATGAGGCCGAGCAAGCATCGCTTATTGAACCTGGACACTTCACCCCCGACACTCAAGAGCGCGTGCTGAGCTTGATTATACTGGACGATGTCTACCTGAGACGTTTCGCTACCAAAAGGCTAGGTTGGCTTACCTGGGATGACCCTGATTATCGACCGGTAGGGGCTTCGCCCACTTCGCGAGCTGCCGCGTTTAGAGACTATTCCCTCTCCCTCTACCGCGCCTTAGCCGAGCTCAGGCATAATCCAATCGTATTCAGGAAATTCTTTGCCGCTGTGATGGAGGCACACCCCGGCGGCGTACCAGAGAATGCAGCCGCCGCAGCCTCGTGGGAAGCGAAGAGGAATAGAAAGCTGAGGGAAAGGGCAAGGAAGAAGCGCGGTGGTGCCGGTGCCGGTGATGACAGCGCTGCTGCTGTCGCCAGAGTCTCTTCTGAAGCCCCTGCTGGTGGCGAGCTTACAAAGATTGACGCCACGGATGATGGTGATCGGGTAGTACGCGTACTGGGCCACATCACAAGCACTGATATTGACGCCAAGAAGAGTCTCATCAACGACGTGCTGAGGCGAGGTATCAGGGCCATGATCTACCGACTCGAGATATCCCATGCGATTCATTTACTGTTCCAAGACTTCGCGGATGCCACGTCAAAAGATTGTCTCGAGTTAAACAAGAAGTTTGACTTCCTGGCCGATCCACTGCCAGGCCCTAAATCGCGTGTGTCGTGGAATTCTCTACTCGCACACCTGCGACGATTTGCGGAGATTCTCAAAACGCTGCTTGTGGATGATGGTTTGCTTCACTCGTCACCTTGGATTAGGCAGAACTTCCAACGCGAGACTTGCAATGGAGAGTGGGAGTCGAGAGCTGCCGTTGGGATGTCACACATGACCCCGTGGGCACTTCCTACTACTTTTCTTCCTTTTGAACATCGTTTCTCACGCAACACCGGTGCGCTCCAGCGAGACGAGCAGGCCCTGGTCGACGATTTGCAGCTGCTCAACCACGGAGACGGAGAGGCTGCTGGATTCATCGGCATGTGGCGTGTCATCCACGAGATGGCCAACAACGTGGGAGACATGTCGGAGCGTGGCTACTTTGAGAGCCAAAATACCAGGGGTCTTGCGAATACTCTGCACCATGTTTTGAGATGGAGCCGCATCATGGAAATGATCCACCCCCTTCGCCTCAGTTCTCAGCAGTACAATACGCTGCTCAAAGACTCAAGACATCTCTACTTCTTCAGAAACTTGGACAACTTCGATTTCGAAAGTCATGTTGGGGCAGATACCATGCGAGATGTCCAATGGCTTCTCGGGGTAAAATACGCCGACGACGATAAACCTCCAGTGATGATCGCCGAGGCTCGCAAAACCTTGCAGTCGTTTTGGGACGATATTGACAAATGGCTTCGCCGCACACGCATCGCCCCCGCTTATGCCGACGGCTTAGAAAGGATGCGGTTTCCGGAGAAGTTCCAGACACCCGAGCAGATGAAGCAGGCCATCATCGACGGAAAGTCTGACCCGGCCACGACGGAGCGGCAAAAGTGGGAGCATTTCAGGGTCACGCAGATTTGCGGTAAAATCTCCACGCTCAAGCCAAGAGAGGCGGACGAGCCTGCGCCAGCAGAGCCTGCGCCCCTGCCAGCTGCTGTCATTGCGGCCAAGGAGACGATCGAGTCGGCCAACAAGCGATGGATCATGGAACGGTACGGTGGCGCCGGAAGGCATGCACCAGGACGTTTCCGGCCGTCCACGAGCCAAAGCCACCAAGAGCATGAGATTTACAGGGCCAGAGCGCGCACGAGGCTCACTCAAACCGACTGGCTGACGGTAGAGCGCACGTTTGGCCACGAAACTGGCGGCATCACGTGGCACGACTGGTGCAAGCTTGTCACGCACATGGGCTTTCAGATGCAGCCGATGGGCGGCTCTATCTTCAAGTTCACCTACACCAGCGCCAGCATGCTTTCAAATAGCCAAGGCCAAGCAGGATGGAGCGACCACACGACCATTCATATGCAGCATGGGTCGGGCAATACCACGCTGAGGCCCCAGGTGGCGCGCAGCTATGCCACTCGCTTCTATGCGTCGTTCGGTGTAACGAGGGACACTATTGCTGAAGCATACGGCACCCACGCCGATCCCGACCCCGCGCCAGACGCCGAGGACGATGTCGAAGAGTCGGATGGCGAGCGCAAGCGTAACAGGAAGCGGAAGAAACAGAAGGAAAGGTTTGACAGGTGGCTGAAGGCGCAGCCTCCAGTCATCTCTGGTGGTCATGGGGCACC